TATAATGCAATTCTTTTGAAAATGTTGTATAAATGAAATGAGGTTATGTGTTGAATATCCCCCATAAATTGCATGAGCTGGACAATTGTCTGTTACTATTGTTATAACTAAGCTATTATAATGTGAGGTAGATAGAGAAAGATGTAGAAGAGGTTCTTTCTGGGGCCAGTGCTGTGGCGTAGTGGGTAAAGCCACTGGCTGCAGTGCTGGCATCCCATAAGGGCACTGGTTCTAGTCCCGGTTGCTCCACTTCTGATCCAGCTCTCTGCTATGGCCTGAGAAAGCAGTAGAAGATGGTTCAAGTCCTTGGGCCCGTGCACCCGCGTGGGAGACCCGGAAGAAGCTCTTGGCTCCTGGCTTCACATTGGCGCAACTCTGGCTGTTGCAGCCAATTGGGGAGTAAACCAGTGGATGGAAGACCTCTCTCTCTCTCTGCCTCTCCTTCTCTCTCTGTGTCACTCTTTCCGATAAATAAATAAATCTTTTTTTAAAAAAGAAGAGGTTCTTTCTGTTGCTAATGCATGCTACTGAAGCCGATTTTTATAAATAAGAAGTCTTCCATTAATTTAAAGTCATCATATGCTTTTCCAGACTCGAGCCCAAGTTTCTCTTTCTCTCTTGAGGTTTCTGAACTCAAATGAAAAAAGAGTTGTTTCTTTAAATAGTTGGTTAACTTTGGAAAGTTTGCACACTGCAAAAGCATCAAGAGTTCTTATTTAGGTTCAATGGTTCCTAACTTAATGAAGGTGGAATTTACAACCTTAAAAGGAAAGTGTAATGTCAGAAAAACATTGCGTGGGAATCTAGTTTGTTTTCATTTTAGGTTGCAATTAGCAATTCATTTTGGCTTAAACTTTGTTTTACCACAGCTAAACATTCATTCAACTGAGTGTTGAAGATATTCTGCTTTGTATAACATATAAGAGGAAGGGAAGTCTCATCTTTAAGATGGTTTTCTGTAATGACTTTATTTTCTGAGCTGTGGGCTTTCCATTCCCTGTGGAGACAGGGAATGTGTGTGACCTGGACAGGGAGTATAGTATGTGTGACTCGGTTTGCCTGTAGACTGAGACAGACTTGGGTTTTGTTGGTCCCAGCTCAGCTTAGACGCCAGTCGTTTCCGTTTGGCATGACGCTTACAGCCTGTGCTCTTCTGCAGGATGAGAGCATTGCCTGCCTTGGAGAGCCTACAGTGATCCAGGCAAAGGTGTGTCAGGCCCTTGTGACCTGCCTGGCACTCTGATCATCAGGTCAGCAGAAAGAGGAGGACAAGCACAGATTAGAAAAATACAGTTCGTGGCTGGTGCCGCGGCTCACTAGGCTAATCCTCTGCCTGCGGCACCGGCACCCTGGGTTCTAGTCCCGGTCGGGGCGCTGGATTCTGTTCCGGTTGCTCCTCTTCCAGTCCAGCTCTCTGCTGTGGCCTGGGGAGGCAGTGGAGAATGGCCCAAGTGCTTAGGCCCTGCACCTGCATGGGAGACCAGGAGGAAGCACGTGGCTCCTGGCTTTGGATCGATCGGCGCAGCACACCAGCCGTGGTGGCCATTTGTGGGGTGAACCAACGAAAGGAAGACCTTTTTCTCTGTCTCTCTCACTGTCTAACTCTGCCTGTCAAAAAAAAAAAAAAAAGAAAAAAAGAAAAAGAAAAAGAAAAATACAGTTCGTAGTGTCAGAGTTAGATATCCAAGCTAAAATTTCAATGTGGTACTAAAATAAATGCGTTGTTTATCTAAGTGTATTTTTAGAAGTGCTGTGTAACAGTTTAGCCTCAGACAATATAAACCACACACGTCTATGATTGTAAAAGGTGCATGTGGCTACTGTAGGGCATCCGAGTAAGGCAGAAGGAGATATCAACCACGTGCAACCTTGACTGTCACGGAGACCCTGGGTTACCATTTTGGCCTCGATGTAGTTTTTGTATCCCACGTGTCACTTCAGTGCTGTGGTTCCTGTGTCATAAAATATGATGTTTTAGAGAGTACAAAGGTTTTACTGTGGAGATGGTCAGCAGAGTTCATCGTTCATTGGTTTGGCAGGGCTTGCGCCCTCGAGGCCACTGCTGGGCTCTTTTCCTGATCAGGTCAAGCAAAGCCCCTTCCTGTCCTCCATGTCAGCTGAGAGGCTCATTGGCAGAGGGATTCCCACCCCCCCAGTCACAGGGCCACCCGCTTAACTGTGGTCTTTTCCTTAGGACAGGAAACACAGCATTTTCTTATTTTTAATTTAAATCTATTGGCTAGGAAGAGTCAACATTATTTCTTTAGGTTATTAACCATATGCTCTTCTCCTTTTTAAATCATCTGTTTCCTTTTTAAATTACGGTGTTTGTTTTTCATTACATTTTTAAGATATGAATATATATAATATGACCATAACCATTTGTATATTAATTTTTATCTCTGTTGAGTATTTCCCTCACTTTATCATTACTGTTTAAGGTGAATGTTTTTGACACATTGAAGTTGAAAACTTTCATATGCTCCAATCCGTCAATCTTTCCTTTTTTTATACTTTTTAAGTTTAAAATGTTCTAAACCCTGAAATATTATGCAAATTAGCCACCTATATTCATTTCTGCTTGCCTTATGATTTTATATCTTATTTTATCATCTCACACTTTTTAACGTACATTTTGTTAAGGGTAAGGCTGCACTTTTTTCCCCTTCGTATTATAAATCTCAAGAAGGCTTGTTAAGTTTTCTTTTCCTCACTAATTTAAAAGTCTACGTTTATTGTATTCATTGTGTAAATCTTTCTTATTTCAGCCCACCGATCTTACCTTGTACATTGGACTGCACATTTATAAACCGTTTAACATGTGGTGGTTAAAACAAAGTCTCACCACTTAAAAAAAATTGTTTTCTTGGGTGTTTTCAACTGTTCATTTTCCATATAAATATTAGAATAATTGTCATGTTTCCTCCTCCTCTTTGGGGTTTTGATTTGATTATCTTATAAAAAGAAATTTGACATTGGTTTGGTATAGAAGTTTACAAGTAATCTTTCAAATTTTTTAGCACACTTAATCCTTTTTTTTTTTTTATTTGACAGGTAGAGTTTTAGACAGTGAGAGAGAGAGACAGAGAGAAAGGTCTTCCCTCCATTGGTTCAGTACCCAAATGGTCGCTACAGCCGGCTCTGTGCCGATCTGAAGCCAGGAGCCTGGTGCTTCTTCCTGGTCTCCCATGCAGGTGCAGGAGCCCAAACACTTGGGCCATCCTTCACTGCCCTCCGAGGCCACAGCAGAGAGCTGGACTGGAAGAGGAGCAACTGGGACTAGAACCCGGTGCCCATGTGGGATGCTGGCGCTACAGGCGGAGGATTAACCAAGTGAGCCACGGCGCTGGCCCCCACTTAGTCCTTCAAAGAGCCTAGTGAGGTACTGGTCCCATTTTGGAGATAAGAAATCTGACCCTAGGAAAGGCTTCTTATCACTTATGTGCATGGCTGGATATCCATCGCGCAAAAGTTGAGCTTATTGAAACTGTTTTCTTCTAAGCCATGGTGGTGACCAGTGTTCTCCCAGGTGTACTCGGCCAGGACTGGGACAGAAGGACTAAGCAGTTCTTATACATCTGGACAGTTGTTCTCCCTACGTGAATTATTTGGCCAGTCACGTTTAGTTTCTTTTATAAGATTTAGTTTGCTCTGTGAAATTTTGTTTCCCAATGTTGCTAATATTTTTGTTTCAAGAATCTTCTTACTATTGGAAATTGATGCCTTAAGTTGATCTATTTAAATAAGGGTTTTGCTTTCCAATTGGATACAGACTGCTTTTTTTGTTAAAAATAGAGAGCATTTTTTGTTGTTGTTGTTAGAAAAATGACCTTGTAGGTAGTTACATAGAATAGCCAAGTTACAAAATTCAAGGCAGGATTCTTCAGCATATGATCAGATTCTGGCCAAGACTATCCACTGAAGCAGGATCGCTAGCACCCATTTGTAGGTCAGGCTTTTGTTGGTAAGCTTCTCCCTAATGAAGAGAATAATGCTGTAAGCGTGACATGCAGATCTTAGATCGTCTCACTTAGCAGATAGGGCACATCTGTAAAATGCATGTAGATAGGAAAAAAAAAACACCCAGATTTGTCTCATTTGCTGCTTTCTTGCAGCATTATACTGCCTCGGCACTGTGCAGCATGCAGCTGTGAATGGAGGGATTAGAGAAGTAGCCAGATCTTTGAACATGGTCAGTGGTCACCTTCTCAGGAGTTGCTAAAACATTAGCAGCATTTCTGAAGATAGTAAATAAATTTTTGTTTCTTTTCCCCCCCCAGAAATCTTTGATTTAAAGTATACAAATGCCATGCACTTCATAAATTCAACTCTAGGAACATAGCGATTCTTCCATCCTACCCGCTCTCCCACCTGCACTTCCACCCTTCCTCCTCCTCCCTCTCCTGTCCCCATTCTTATTTTTTACTAAGATCTATTTTCAATTAGCTTTATACATATAAGATTGATTCTATATTGAGAAAAGAGTTCAACAAATAGTATGGAAAAAAAAACTGTTCCTCAATTAAATTTTTGTTTCTTAAACTTATATAGCATCTTGAGTTTTATTTATGTTTACCATTCCTATCAACTAGCAGGAATCTGAATTCTTGCTTGCAGGCAATGGATTTTCTTCATCAGGCGTTGTCAGAGTTCCGTTGGGTTTACATGGTTTTTTCGCTTTTGTGTTAAAAACAAAGTCAGAAGAATGGCATGTGATCTCTTATTTCATTCACCATGATTTTCATTGCCTTGAAAAGTTCTATTCACCAACTTCAAACACTTTTTAAATTCCAAATTTTAAATATTGATAACAAAGAGACTTAATTGCCTCACTTTTAAAAACATTCTTAATTTTCCTGTAAGTTAATTATAGGCATTCTAAATCCTGTACCATAGAAATCTTTAGTCAAAAATACTTTAGTACTTTTCCATTTTTAAAAGATTTATTTTATTTATTTGAAACATAGCATTACGGGGGGGGGGGGGGAGAGGGAGAGAGAGTGAGAGACAGAGAGAGAGATCATCTATCCACTGGTTTACTTCCCAAATGGCCACAATGGCTGGGGCTGAGCTGGGCCAAAGCCGGAAGCCAGGAGCTCTATTCATGCCTTACACGTGTGTGGCAGGGACCCCAGCATACGGGCCATCTTCCACTGCCTTCCCAGACATATTAGCAAGGAGCTGGATTGGAAGTAGAGCAGCCAGAACTCCAACAAGAGCTCATATGGGATGCTCCCATCACAGGAGACAGCTTACACAATTGTGCCACAATGCCAGCCCCATCTTCCTTTTCTACAACTTTTTCCATAATACACAATTGTCAGATTAACCCTCACATCCTCTGCCTAGAATTGGAAAAGCAAAATTTCCTTCCATCTGTAAGAGTTGGAACTGAAATAACAAGTCAACTAAAGCACAAAGGCATTATCCTATTAAAAGCAAAAATGCATTATTCTAAGCAGGCCAGCTAATTGCTTGGGAAAGTTCACATTTTCCCTAAAATGGCTAATAAATAGAATGAATCCTTTACTTTAACATGTCTAGTACTATTTATTTTTTTGGGGGAAAAGCCATATTCAACATGTGCAGAAAATATAGTCATTAAAATGAATAAAACATGATTTTGCAGAATTCATTTCTGGGTTTGGTTTTAGCCTGTGTTACAATAGACATAGTCTGGTGTGTTTGGTAAGAATTGGAAGGGGTGATCTCTAAGGTTGTTTGTCCTATAGGAATCTACAATTTGACCAATATCTACAAATGCATAGCAAAGCTTGCTTTTTAAGTGTTCCATCTGCTTGCTGCCTGGTCATTTCAGGCATGGGAAGTCCAGAAGTGCTGGTGGGAGGACTGAGGGGAGTGAGGGCCAGGGAGAAGGATGTGTCTACCCTGAGACGCTGGCTGATCACATGGGCACTGTGATCCAAGCACTGTGTGGCTGCAAAAGCCAGTTTGCCATGACAGCTGGTCCTCCAGCCCGTGGAGTTGCTGGGCTAGCTGAGTTTCATAGCCAGCTAGACACTGAGATGGTCTTAAGTATCTTCTTCATGTGACTCTTTTTAGTTCTGATGGCAGTGTACTCTGGACTGCCTGCTGGTACCGCAGCACTCCATGGAGCAGATCTTCTTCAGCTCTTTTGACATAATTTAGAAGTCTACGGCCAGCGCCGCGGCTCACTAGGCTAATCCTCCGCCTGCGGTGCCAGCACCCCGGATTCTAGTCCTGGTTGGGGCGCCAGATTCTGTCCCGGTTGCTCCTCTTCCAGTCCAGCTCTCTGCTGTGGCCCAGGAGTGCAGTGGAGGATGGCCCAAGTGCTTGGGCCCTGCACCCGCATGGGAGACCAGGAGAAGCACCTGGCTCCTGGCTTCAGATCAGTGCGGTGCACCAGCCGCAGCGCGCCAGCCACAGAGGCCATTGTGGGGTGAATGAATGGTAAAGGAAGACCTTTCTCTCTGTCTCTCTCTCACTGTCCACTCTGCCTGTTAAAAGAAAAAAAAGAAGTCTACAAGTAGAATTTCAAAACAGGTGGGGACTGCAATGCCGCTTTATGCAAGGAGGAACCCTTTGTACATATAAGATAAGAAAACGGACCTGGAGTGTGTGCATAGCCTGCTGGTGGTCACCTCTCCAGAACCCCGCTTGTAGTTCTGAATGTTCTGACTCTTGACGTCATGTTAGCCATTTTGAGCATTGATCTCACCTGATCGATGACCTCAAGTAATCATTTAAGTGAGTAGACCTGTATTCCTGGCTTTGTTTTTGTTGTGATGGAGATCAGGTTTTATGGAATTTAACCTCTGAATTCCAGTAGTGGAGTGGGGTTAAAGAGGGTTCAGTCTAATCAAGTTAATTTTTTTAACAACCAGTAGGAAACTGAAATGCTCAATTGTAACGTCTTTTTCCTTGGAAGTACTCTCTGGTCCCTTGAGAGAACCTGCCCACCTTCATATTAATCACAAGCCAGGTGGATATTTCATATTTCCAAGCTACACATCACAAACAAAAAGTGCTTATGTTTATGCATTTCACGTTTTTTCTACATTGAAGGGTCAGCTTTCATAGCTGGCTCCACCTTCTACTTCTTCCATCTGCCCTCACACTGAGAAATAAAACACTTTTGCCTCTTTTCTTACCCCAAATGAGTTCTCCACCAGAAAGGGTAGTTCCAAGGGCAATCCACAGCAGCCCAATTTGCCTTTGGGTGGATTATTAACATATATGCAGAAGTAACTGGCTTGTGCCTGTTCAGCTTTGAGATTTAGCATCCCCAGTGAGTACAGGGAAATACAGATTTCCCAGAGCAATCCTGTTTATTTATTTGAGTGGGAGGTGGGGCAGGGGGGAAGAGAGAGAAATCCCATTTGTTGGTTCACTCTCTGGATGCCTGCAAACACCAGCTGGGAGCCGGGAATGCAGTCCAGGGGTCCCACGGGGATGGCAGGAAGCCAGCTCCTTGAGCCGTCACCGCTGCCTTCCAGGACCCACATTAGCAGGAGCGGGAACGTGGAGCTGGAGCTGGGCATTGAACCCAGGGACCTGGGTGTGGGATGTGGGTACCCTGACTGCATGCAGTCTTCACCACTAGGCTGACAGCCCTGCCCCAAAGCAGCCTTAAAGAAACACAGGAAAAGAAGGTCCCAGTCATCATGGGCAGTGCTGAGGGGGAGAGTAATGAGACGTTGGTTCCAGTCCGTTGACTCTGACCTGCAGGCCTCCTTGGTGGGACCAGGCAGGTGGGCGCCTCTGCCTCTTCTGGTGCCTCCCATTTCTGTGTGTCTGCTGGCTTTCTCTGGCCTCCTTGTCCTCCTCCCAATCCCATTAGTCTGCCGTCAATGAATTCTTTCCATTTTTCTAGGTCTGAAAAATTCTTTACCTCTCTGTTTTTTTTAAAGAATTATTTTATTTATTTGAAAGTCAGAGTTACACACAGAGAGAAGGAGAGGCAGAGAGAGAGAGAGAGAGAGAGAGAGAGAGAAAGAGAAAGAGAGAGGTCTTCCATTCCACTGGTTCACTCCCCAAATGACTGCAATGACCAGAGCTGAGCTAATCTGAAGCCAGGAGCCCAGAGCTTCTTCCAGGTCTCCCACACAGGTGCAGGGGCCCAAGGAGTTGGGTCATCTATTGCTTTTCCAGGCCATAGCAGAGAGCTGGATCAGAAGAGGAGCAGCCGGGACTCGAACCAGCACCCGTATGGGATGCTCGCGCTGCAAGCTGGGGCTTTAACCCGCTGTACCACAGCGCTCAGCCCCTACCTCTCTGTTTTTCAAATCTATTTTCTCTAGGTATAGAATTAGGGTCTGGCAGTTTTCTTCCAGTCAATTAAAGAAGTTCTTTCAGTTCCGTCTTTTTGCTCGGTTGTTTTCAGAGACGTTTGCTCTCATTCCCATCTTTACTTTTCTGTACCTGGTATCTTTTTTCTGTTACCTTTTCTCCCTGTCTTGGCTTTTAAGCGGTTTGACTATGATGAGCCTTGGTGGAATTTTCTTCTTGTTTCTTGTGCTTGAGATTTATTGAGTATTTTGAATCTGTGAATGTATAGTTTTCATCAAATTTAGAAAAATTCTGATCATTATTTCTTTTTTCTGCTCCACCCTGACACTGATTGCAGAAATATTAGGCTGCTAGAAATTGTAGCACAGCTTACCTTTGCCTTTTCTTCCTCTCATCTTACTATTATTCTTATTATTTTAAACATTTATTTATTTGAAAGTCAGAGTTACACAGAGAGAGGAGAAGAGGCAGAGAGAGAGAGAGAGAGAGAGGTCTTCCATATGCTGGTTCACTCCCTAGTTGGCCGTAACAGCTGGAACTGTGCCGATCCGAAGCCAGGAGCCAGGAGCTTCTTCCTGGTCTCCCACGTGGGTCCAAGCACTTGGGCCATCTTCTACTGCTTTCCCAGGCCATAGCGGTGAGCTGGATAGGAAGTGTAGCATCTGTGTCTCGAACCAGCGCCCATATGGGATGCTGGCACTACAGGTGACAGCTTTACCCACTACGCCACAGCGCTGGCTCCTCATCTTATTATTTTTAATTGTATTTCATATTTGATAGTTTCTATAGCTGTGTTTTCAAGTTTACTAAGTTCCTTTTCTTTTACAATGCCTAATCTGCCACCAGTCTCATTTAGTTGGTTTTTCTTATCACATATTATAGTTTTCATGCACTCCAGAAGTGTGATTTGGGACCTTAAACATTTTTTAAACAATTTTCACACCTCTGCTTAATTTATTCTTTCCTGTAACTTCTTAGACATGTGGGTATTTCACAACTATTTTCATGTCCTTGTGTACTTATTATATCCTCTGTGTCAGTTCTGGATTTATTACTACTGGTTGATTTTTTCTCTCATTTTAGGTTGTATTTTCCTGCTTCTCGCATGCCTAGTAATTTTTTATTAGAGGCCTAGCATAGTGAGTGCTGGGCACTTCTACAGTGCTGGACATTGCTGTATCCCCATAAATATTCTTGTCCTTCATTCTAGAATGCGTGCACCTGTGGAACTCTGAAACAGTTCAGTCCTTTCTTAGTTGAGACCAGAGCAGCCTTTCTAACCCCTCCTTCCCGACACCTGGACAGGGCCCTTTGGATTACTCTTCCTGATGCCCTGTGAGTTAAAGTGTTTTCTTCCCTTGCTGGTGAGAGTAAGGGCTGATCCTGGCCTACGGCAAACTCTGGTGATCATTTCCTTTGCTTTTTCCAAGTGGTCCTTTCCTGGCCTTGGATAAGTTCTTCACATGCATGCAGGTGCTGATCAAGGTGGAGCCAGAACCTCCAGGGGACCCCATGCAGACAGCCCCAGCTCTTTTTCTAGGCCCCTGCCTTGCAAACTCTTAGCTCTGTCCCTTCCACCTGGAGCTCAACAGGCTCTGCCTGACTCCCCGCCCTGTGCTGCAGCCTGGCTACTTCTTCCAGACAAACTGGGGCAAGTGAGGAGCTCTTCCTCTTTGCTGCCTTCTCACAGGATCATTGTCCTTTGATTCTTGCTGCCCAGTGTCTGAAATCCCTTTTTGTAAATGTATTTATTATTCTTATTATTCTGTGGTGTAATAGGGCAAACCCCGCACCTCTATTCCATCTTGGTTAGAAGTAGAGGCTTGTGAACAGGTTTGAGAATGAAATTACACTTTATGTTTTCTGAAAATCAAACTGAATGGTTACCAATATGTGTGACTTCCACAGCTAAACAAGAATAATCGTGCAGGGTTTCAAAATCGTGTATTCCCCTGTGTTCAAAGAAAAATACAGTCCCCCCAAAAACAAAAACTAGATTGCTTTAATTTAAAGTGGGACAAAATGAGTATTTTTTCCTTTGTGTTTAAGTCAGGTTGATTGTAGATAAAGGAGAGGGCTTTGATATCATCAGCAAAGCATTCTTCCCAGTCAGGAACAAAGGCAAGTGTTCTTGGAAAAGGCTTATGGGTGTGCTGAGGGCGCCTGTGTTATTTGCCCTCACTTTGAATGAAAAAAGAAAGGTATTTATTTTTATAGTAATGTTTCCTCCAAGTGATTGTGTGGCAAGCACAGGACATAACACTCTGCATTACAAAGCAGAGAACAAATAGAGCTTTGTAAGGACAGGCCATGATAGCCACACTACACAAGTGCTCTTTACCAGGGTGAGAAGCTGAGGAGGTTCCTGTTTCCTGACTTGTTGTTTTTAAGTGTGATTGATACCTGCTCTTCAGCAGAGGACAGGCAGAAACCAAGGAAGCTGTTAAGAAAAAAACAACTCTAGGCAAAGTCATCTTGGTTTTAACTCCTGGGCTGCCAAGCCCAGACCCCCTGCTGTCTTCTTTGCCCTTGGGCATGTTTGTTCTGGCCTCTAAGGGTGCACTGGTCCATTTCCGAGGAGCAGTGTGGGGAGAAACAGGGAGCAGAAGCTGAGTGACAGTCACAGCGGTCCCTGCAGGGTGCCGTGCCCTGGCTAGATCAGTGTCGCTCTGCTCTCGGGGCCACTTCCAGTCGCGTGTCTCAGCTTCCTCTGGCTTTGGGGCAGATCTGAGCTGTCTGTGTTTGCAGAGTGCAGAGACATCCGGGTGCCGGCAGCATGGCAGTGGCTGATGGGGACGCGTCGGTGTCCCACTGGATGAGGAAGAGCGGGGAGGCCGGCTGGGGTCAGAGCTTGGGCTCCACGTCAGATGCCCCCGGGGCCGTCCCTGTACTCGCAAGGCTGTGATGTCTGTGACTTCCCATCCGTTTCTCCCCACAGTCTCACAGTACTGTCTCATTTCCCATCTTGTAACTTTTCAGGTCACTTTTCACTTGTGCGTAGGTCTTGCTGCAAACACTTAAAAATTAGTAGAGCTGGGAGTGAGCCGCGTCTCCTGCAGTAGCTCGCTCTGTGCCTGGTGGGATGCACCTGTTGGCCTGTGGAGCACCCTGTGCCTGGTGGGATGTACCTGTCGGCCTGTAGAGCGCCTGTGCCTGGTGGGATGCACCTGTTGGCCTGTAGAGTGCCTGTGCCTGGTGGGATGCACCTGTTGGCCTGTAGAGTGCCTGTGCCTGGTGGGATGCACCTGTTGGCCTGTGGCTCGCCCTGTGCCTGGTGGGATGCACCTGTTGGCCTGTGGCTCGCCCTGTGCCTGGTGGGATGCACCTGTTGGCCTGTGGCTCGCCCTGTGCCTGGTGGGATGCACCTGTTGGCCTGTAGAGCGCCTGTGCCTGGTGGGATGCACCTGTTGGCCTGTGGATCACTGGGATAGATGGGCAGGCAGGGCAGTTACTGCAGGGATGCTCACAGATCCACATTGTTTTGTTTCTCTCCTCCCTCTTAGTCCTCACCGCTTGTTCCTTTCTGAGTTTCTTCTTCTCTCAGCCCTGCCAAATGCTTTGGGGATCCTTTACTCTCTTGGTGGCTTAAAACTGGGGAGTCGGCCTAGGTTGCCTCTGGCTGCCCTCATCTTACTCACCCCAGGTCCCTTCGCTGTGAAGCACCTGCAGGAGTCCTGGGATGTCCCTTTCTGCCTGGAACATACCGGCAGCTGCCTTCTGGGCCTGGGTAGTGTTCCTTGGTGCCGACTTTTCCCCATTGAACCCTGTAATGACTTGTTTTGCTGGGATCTGCTGTCTAGTATGTTACAGGTGTTGATGGGGTTTCATAAATCCATGGAAGTAGAATTCCTGCTAAAGCATTCTCAAGGTTCTCTGTGACCCCTGCCTCATAAGGCGGTGCCCTCTCATCATCAGAACGCACACGCTAGTCACACGGCTAGAAGACTCCTGCTGACTGCCATCGGATCATCCTCACCCACTCTGCTTTCCGGAGGTGTGGTTAGAGGGGAGACGCCCTCCACATAGCCCCTGATCATGCATCATGTACTGTGCTTGGGTCTTGGCAGCGCCTCCCCTGCTGGCTGTGAGGGTGAATGAAGACGACTCATTGACCGCCCAGTGCTCGCCTGTTGGAATCTGGGGTGGAATTTTCTGCCAAACTGGGCAGCCCTCGCTCTGTCACCCTGCCCAGGGCTGTGGTCCTCAGTTTTCAGACTGTGCTGCAGACACACCTTGTTGACCTGGTGCCCTCCATCGGCACGTGTGGGTAAAGTTCTGGTGGACAGATTTGGCTGTTGTTCTTTGGCCAGCTTTCATCAATGTGTATTCTGTTGGTTTTCTTTTTAAGATTTATATTATTTATTTTAAAAGCAGAAAGACACAGGCCTGCACTGTGGCATAGCTGGTAAAGCTGCCGCATGCAGTGCCAGTGTCCCATTTGGGCGCCGGTTCAAGACCCAGCTACTCCACTTCCAATCCAGCTCTCTGCTATGGCCTGGGACAGCGGTAGAAGACGGCCCAAGTCCTTGGGCCCCTGTACCCACATGGGAGACCCAGAAGAAGCTCCTGGTTCCTGGCTTTGGATCGGCACAGCTCCAGCCATTGTGGCCATTTAGGGAGTGAACCAGTGAATGGAAGACCCCCTCCCCTCTCTTTGCCTCTCCTTCTCTCTGTGTAACTCTGACTTTCAAATAAATAAATGAATCTTTAAAAAAATCAGAGAGGGAATGAGAGAGATAGAGAAAGATAGATCAATCTTCCATCTGTGGGTTCACTCCTCAGATGGCTGCATCAGCTCGGGCTGGGCCAGGCAGAAGCCAGGAGCCTGAAATTCCATCCAGGTCTCCTGCAAGAGTGGCAGGGGCTCAAGCACTCGGGCCATCTTCTGCTTCTTTCCCAGGTACGTTAGCAGGGAGCTCGATTGGAAGTGGGGCAGCAGAGATTTGAACTGGCACCCATATGAAATGCTGGTGTCACAGAGGGTGGTTTAACCCACTGCACCACAACACTGTCCCCCAATGTATGTGTTCTTAATGTTTGCAAAGTAGTTTATCTAGAGCCCTGCCAGTATTGCTAAACTAAGAAAACAGTTAAATACATGGCTACTGCTTTCCTAGAATATCCTGATTGAAATGAAACATGAGAAGTGCAGGCAAGAGCATTGGCTATGCTTGCAGCACTAACAGTGTTAGCAACGTGGGCACCTCTGGTTCTGAACACGGTGGGACACTCACCTGAGCCTTCCTCCCCGTGGGCCCTTCCCCTGCAGCTTTGTTTTGGTGGCAGCTGCACTGTTAGGTGACCAAGCACAGGGAGACTGTGAAATATTTTTTTAAAGATTTATTTATTTACTTGAAAATCAGAGTTAACACACACCGCGGCAGGGTGGGGGGGAGTGTCTTCCATCCGCTGGTCCACTCCCCAGTTGGCTTCAATGGCTGGAGCTTCACCAATCTGAAGCCAGGAGCCAGGAGCTTCTTCTGGGTCTTCCATGCAGATGCAGGGGCCCAAGCACTTGGGCCATCTTCTACTGTTTTCCCAGGCCATAGCAGAGAGCTGGATTGGAAATGGAGCAGCCAGGACTTGAACTGGCGTGCATATGGGATGCCTGCACTGCATGTGGCAGCTTTACCCACTGCATCACAGTGCTGGCCCCACTGTGAAATCTAGAAGCAGGCATGAGTGGCAGCTTTATGTCTTTCTGACAGTAGATCATCTAGGGGATTTGCGGGAAATGAGGAACTTGAGAATGGTTTTCCTGCTCTGGCCCCCATGTCTGGCTCCCCATCCCTGTCACTGCCATGGATCCTCTCTTGTTGATGACTTATATTTTAAGACTATATCCAGGGTCGCCGCCGGCTGCCGCTTCCCGGCGCGATGAGGAAACTGAGGCCCAGAGAGGTTAAGTGACTTGGCCAAGGTCAAACAGCTAGTAAGTGGTGGAGCCAGGACTGAAACCCAGTCCAGGAGCCATGTCCACCTTGTTCCCTTCCCTCTTTCCTCGTGTGACTGAGACACTGTGGTTTAATCTGGATCGACCCTGTGTGGAGGAGACAGAGCTACAGCAGCAGGAACAGCAGCATCGGGCGTGGCTCCAAAGCATTGCAGAGAAAGACAGCAATCTGGTACCTAGCTGCAAGCCAGCCTCAGAGCACTATGAGGATGAGGAAGAAGGTGATGAAGACGATGAGGACAGTGAAGAGGACTCAGAGGATGATGAGGACATGCAGGACATGGACGAGATGAATGACTACAACGAGTCACCTGATGATGGAGAGGTCAATGAGGTGGACATGGAAGGCAACGAACAGGATCAGGACCAGTGGATGATCTAGGGAGACAAGGCAGGGTGGCCTCAGGGAGATTCCAGGCCAACCCAGCCTATCTTGCACCCCCAATGCCCAGCCCCAAGCCCTCAGCCTACAGAACCAGCTGATGGCCCAGTGCCTGAGAGCTCATCCTGGGCACTTCCTCAGCTGCTACCCGGACCTGGTCTCCTTGGCTCTCCCAGGCCATGAGTCTGCTCTTGAATCCCCAGGGCCTGAGCCCACCCTACCTTCTTGGCCAGTACTTTACCCTTTGGCTACCAGGTCTGGTCTCTATCTAACCCTCTTTAATAAAGACACAGGACTGAAAAAAAAAAAAAAAAAAAGACTATATCCAGGCCGGCGCCGTGGCTCAATAGGCTAATCCTCCGCCTGAGGTGCCGGCACACCAGGTTCTAGTCCCGGTTGGGGCTCTGGATTCTGTCCCGGTTGCTCCTCTTCCAGGCCAGCTCTCTGCTGTGACCCGGGAGTACAGTGGAGGATGGCCCAAGTGCTTGGGCTCTGCACCCCATGGGAGACCAGGAGAAGCACCTGGCTCCTGGCTTCGGGTCAGCACGGTGCGCCAGCCACAGCACGCCGGCCGCGGCGGCCATTGGAGGGTGAACCAACGGCAAAGGAACACCTTTCTCTCTGTCTCTGTCTTTCACTGTCCACTCTGCCTGTCCAAAAAAAAAAAAAAAAAAAAAAAAAAAAAAAATAGACTATATCCAAACTACAGGTTCTGTCATTTTAAGGGGGAATTTTTCTTAAAGACTTATTTTTATTTGAAAGCCAGGTGTGAGAGAGAGAGAGAGATCTTCCATCTGCTGTTTCACTCCCCAAATGCCCACAATGACCTATCTGGGACCAGGCCAAAGCTAGGAGCCAGGAACTTCCTACAGGTCTCCCATGCGTGCAGGAGCCCAGGGACTTGGTTCACCTTTCACTGTTTTCCCAGATGCATTAGCAGAGAGCTGGATAGGAAGTGGAGCAGCCAGGACTTGAACTGCCACCCATTTGCAGGTGGAGATGTAACCTGCTGTGCTACGATGCTGGCCCCAGGCAGGGGGAACTTTTTTTACTTAATTCCTTTTGTTCGGACAGTTTATCATGCATGTCCTAGATCTTCTAGAAGTGCTCGTAGTTCTCCAGTGTGGACCACTCTCAACCTCCAGGAACACGACTTCCCCACTGGATGAGCAGTTCTGCTCCCCATCCAGGCGGCTGCAGCCCAGAAGCGGAACTGAGTAGAGACCTTAGGAGAGAGAACGGTGTGTTCCTGGTCCCTAGCTCATTGATCCTTGATTTCAGGACTTTGATCTGCAAGTCCCCTGCTTAAATTGCAATGTGTTGCTTGAGACCAAATATGAAATACGGTCATGGAAATATCTTCCCCCCTTTCCAGCCCGTCTATAGCAGTAAGCACTGTTCTTAGATTCATGCTGCACATTTGGAACCGTGAGTAAGTTTGAGGTTTTCCCAAAAAGAAAAGAAAAATGAATAGAGCTGAAACATTTAAAGCAGAAATGTAATTATGTGTTACTTTGAAGATAGACTTTGCCAAAAAACCCCATTTTTGTACAATTTTTCCCTTGTGTTGATTCTTAAAAGCTCACAGCAATAAAAATAAAAGCTCACAGCAAATTTTTGGATTTTTTAAATTGAATATTCCATTTCATTTTTGTTCTTTGGTTTTAAATGAAAATTCATTCATTTGAGTAAAGAAAACATGACCCATGTTTGCCGTTCCTTTTCTACGCAGTCTGCCGGCCCTGGAGGTGTAAGAAGTGCTTGGCTGGGTCTCACCCCTCCCCTGATGTCTGCTTCCTCTGTATCCCTCTCTTGGGCTCTTCTCCGTGTTGGCATCAGCCTGGCCTGCAGCATCCCACTGTCCTCTGGGCTCTTCCCGGTGGTGGTCTCTTGCCGCCTCCTGTTGCTGTGGATTCATTTTGAGAGGAGGAGCGTGATGGGGGCAAGAGGCGCAGAGTCACCACACAGACCCTGGGAGTTGGGTGAAAGCGGGCCAGAGGCAGCAGCCTGCAGACTCGTTTATTTCAGTTGGTATACAGCAGCTTAAATAGCCAAGGCAGCCAATCCAGTCAAGGGGCGGTTTATGCCCTAGCCAATCACAGCTTGTTGCCAGGCAGGCTCTGTTGCCATGTGGTTTCCGAAGCCATCCAATCACAGCTGGTTGCCAGGCAGGCTCCGTTGCCAGTGGCCATCTTGGCATGGCTTCCTCATTCCACCACAGCCTCCACTGTCCCATCCACAGGCAGGGAGCTTATGCAGGGCTCAGGCCTTTAGAAGCACAGGAGGGACAGGGTCCTGTAGCCATCCTGTCTCCACCCCCGCGGCACGGCCTGTCTTCCACTGGGGACTCACCATCCTTTGTCTTACTTTAGGATGTTATTGCTGACTCTGGCCCTGATCTGGCGGCCACTCTGATGGTGAGAGCATCGCGTCCTCCAGGCCGCTTCAGGCTCTCCCTCAAAGCCCAGGAAAACCTGCACTAATGTAGACACGTAGGAGTCTCCTGTTTTGTTTTGTTTTTTTCCTTTCTTTTATTTTTTTTGGACTTATTATTTTGAAAGAGTTACAGAGAGAGAGAGGGAGACAGAGAGAGGGAGACAGAGAGAGGGAAGGAGATTGATCTCCATCCACTGGTTCACTCCCCCAAATGGCTGCCAAGGCCAGGGCTGAGCCAGGCCAGAGTTAGGAGCCAGGAGTTCCTTATATGTCTCCCAAACGGGTGCAGAAACCCAAACACTTGGACCATCTTCTGCTGCTTTTCCCAGATGCATTAGCAGGGAGCTGGATCAAAAGTGGAGCAGCCTGGACTCTAACCAGCAGCCCTATGAGATGCTGGCATCGAAGGCAGAGATTTATCTTTTTTAAAGATTTATTTATTTATTTGAAAGTCAGAGTTACACACACACACACACACACAGAGAGAGAGAGAGAAAGAGAGAGAGAGAGAGAGTAGAGGCAGAGAGAGAGAGAGAAATAGAAAGAGAGAGAGAGAGAGGTCTTCCATCCTATGGTTCACTCCCCAGTTGGCTGCAGCGGACAGAGTTGCATCGATCCAAAGCTTCTTCCGGGTCTTCCACGTGGGTGCAGTGGCCCAAGGACTTGGGCCATCTTCTACTGATTTCCCAGGCCATAGCAGAGAGCTGGATCAGAAGTGGAACAGCCAGGTCTTGAACCAGCAGCCATATGGGATGACAGCACTGCAGGCCAGGGCGTTAACCTGCTGCTCCATAGCACCGGCCCCTAAGGCAGAGGTTTTACCTGCAATGTCACAATGCCAGCCCTGCCACCCTCTAATTCTAAATGCAAACCCCACCTCATTCAAGAACTGACCCAGGTTCCCCAGAAGGCCTGTATACTATTTGGCATGAAATTGGTACAGCTGCATAAAGATAATATAAATCCTGATTGGTCACCCAATGAGGGAAAAATAGTGGCATAAAAATACATGAGTTAGGAATGAATAGTTGCAGGACTGGCGCTGTGGCACAGTGGGATAAGCCTCTGCCTGCAGTGCCATCACCCCTTAAGGACGCCATTCGTGTCCCGGCTGCTTCTCTTCTGATCCGGCTCTCTGCTATGGCCTGGGAAATCAGTGGAAAATGGCCCACATGCTTAGGCCCCTGCACCCATGTGAGAGACCCAGAAGAAGCTCCTGGCTTCTGGCTTTGCATCGGCCCAGCTCCCACTGTTGTGGCCATTTGGTGAGTGAATAATCAGATGGAGGACCTTTGTCTCTGTGTCTCCCTCTCTCTGTCTGTAGCTGTCTCTCAAATAAGGAAACAGATCTTTAAAAAAATAAAAGAATGAATAGTTACTTCGAAGACTGTTCTCATGCCTGCAAAACACAATAAACTGGAGAATGTTTCAGTGAGAGCTGCTCCAGTTGCCTTGAGGTGGTCCTTTGTTATTTAACCATTAATTTGTAGCTAGCTGCTTAATCCAAAATACCCTGCAGGACAGTAAAACCATAGTGAGACCTTGAAAAAAGCAAATGCCACAGTGAGCACAAGCGTTAGAACCAGAACATAACCTTGATTTCAAGGGAAGATTTATGGCAATGCTATTTTTGTACTGAAAAATTAAGGACCTTGCTTTTTATGTCCTACAGCATGGGAACAAAGATTAAATCAGAGGGTATGTTCTATCCATTCTCTGATGTGTTTGGCACATTCGAAAAGTAAATATGGCAGATTTAACTTCAAATAGTCTTTCTTGATTTTATTTTCTTAGTTATGTTCTATTACTATTTTATTCAAAGTATGCATTCAACTGAACCTTTTACCTTCACTTCCACTGAAAAGACAGCTACAGAGTACATAAGGAAATCATTTCAGAGACTCAGTTGGCACTAATAAGTGTATTTTTCTTTTTAAAATATCAGGTTAATTAGGACTTTGAAGAAAACTGTTATCTCACGAAGAGTTTGGCTGTAGTCACCAGGATTTTCAAAGGCATTGATTCATTCTTCTAGCAGAGCTTGCTCTAACATCTCTGGAAGTCAGGGATGAGGCCTGGCGCCAGCTCATAGCCACAGAGAAGTGGGCGGGCCAGGGCACTGTGCCCTGCAGCCCATCCGGCCTGTCTGGGATGAGAGTTCTCAGAGGTGAGAATCCAGTTTTCACATTTGGATTCAGCATTTTCTTTTGTTCTGCCTGTAGAAGAGACATAAAGTCACCCCTTAGTACCCAAGAGGACTTGGTTTCAGGATCTCTCATGAATGTTGAAATCCATGGATGGGCAAGCCCCTTATATAAAATGGTGCTGTAGTATTTCTATATAACCTATACACATCCTCTTGAATGCTTTTAATCATCTCGATTACTTGTAATACTTAATACAATGTAATTGCTATGTTAATAGCTACTAATACCATATTATCTAGGGAATAACAAGGAAAAAGAATCTGTACATGTTCCGTGTAGGCACAGTTTATATTTTTATTTTTTCTAGTATTCTGATTCATGGTTGATTGAATACATGGCATGAGAACCTATGGCTGTGGAGGGACGAATGTATACACCCTTATAATCTGCAGTCCCAGGGAGGTGCCAAGGAGGTCTTCTTGGGTTGAAAGACCATGGCTTGTATCTTGAATCTCCTTAGATGTGTATTATTCTCCCTATCAAAGTCTACAAATAGCCTAGTCATCCCTGTTCTAACACCATAGATAGAACAAAATTAAAGCTGTGTGTCAAGTGTGTAACAGGGATAGGTACATATCTTGGTAAATAATTCCATTGAAAAATTCATTCTGCTATTTTTTTAAAATAAAGATGAGAACATGGATCATGACCCTAGGCACAGTAGCATGAACTTGAAATGGTGTATTTGGTAGCTCCAAGCCTATGTGAGGGACTGGCTCCTACTAGTTAGTATGTGGGCTCCCTGTGCATAGTGCATTGCACACACACTCAGCCAGTCCTGAGGACTTCAGAGTGCCAGTGAGTGCAGATTCTCAGTCTACATGAGGCAGATGAGGTGTCCAGCGGGTTCCCAGGCTCCACATGTGGTTGCCAGCCTGGCTTCTCTTGAAAGAATTTCCCCACGAATGTCCCATCTGTTCACCACAACTCTGCATGACCCAAATTGGCAACATGCCTGGTATTGCAAAGGAGTTTTTCCTTTTCCCCAACTCCCACATTTCTGTTCTCCAAACTAATAACCCTAGCCTACCCAGGATTTATTATAACTTGTGCTTGGAGAATACACATTGCGTCATTAACTGTGTTTTATAGATGAGGTGGCTGAGGTCCATGCTCATAGGAGTTAGCAATATGCTTAGTGGGTGGCAGAGGTGAGCCTGAGTCTGGTCATGTGTTTTAAGGCTCAGCTGTTCCCACTCTACAGCTTTTCTGCTGCTGTGATTTGGTTGACATATGGAGTGTCATACAGGGGTTAAACCCCCATGTCATAAGTTAGTGATGTTAAGAGGATAGGCTTAATCCACTTATAGGGCCTGGTGGTAGTCCTCAGCTTACCGAGGGCTGCTCTTGGAGGGCAGTCCTCCTGAGAATTGGTGATGTAAGTTGAGTTCTACCCAGCCTATCTCTGCCTCTGGCTTGCTATGCAATCCCTCCCCTGTTACAAGTTCAGTCGCTGCCACGGGCCTCTCCCCGGCGCTGAAACCTGTGGCATGCCCTTTGGGTTTTAAACCTCCAAAGCTGAGCTGAATAACCCTTTTCTTTTTTGTAAGTTGCACCTTAGGTGTTTCATTATAGTAATGAATAGCTGACTAACACATCTATCTGTGGCCCCTTTACATGTGTATTCATGTGTGACCATCTGTGTGTGCACATGTACACGCACATAACACACATCACCCACTCAGCACTCGTACACACACCATACACACTCACAGACCCTTCCCACATTCTACACACTAACACACTTCAAATGCATGCTCCTGCTCACTCATGCCTCACAGCACGTATGTACTCCTCTCAGAATCCCAGGACTGTCGGATGTGGGTGTGCAACTGTGGACTGGCTGTGCCTTATATCATTAATTATCCTACTTCACAAAGATGCAGCCCTTGGTCATGAGGGCACCAGGTGGAAATGGGGTCCTGAGAAGCCCCTAAAGCAGCACACTCCACTGGATATTGGTCATATTTTCCTCATGTGTAAAATGCAATTTTACCTAAATTCTGTTCTTGGTTTATGTTATGCAGAATTCATCACGGTCCCCACATATGTGTCCTTCCCAACCCTCAGAATATGCTACTATTTTAGGTTACATGGCAAAGGGAATTAAGGTGCTATTCATTTAGGTTGGTCTTACAGTGAGGAGATTATCTTGGGTTACCTGGATGGGCCCAGTGTAATCACGAGGTCCTTAAGGGAGAAGCAAGTCAGGAAAGAGAACCAAGGAGGAAGTCTTTAAGCTGGTGGTTAGAGATGCCTGCGTCCCACATCAGAGTACCTGGATTCATCTCCTGGCTCTGGCTACTGACTCCAGCTTCCTGCCAGTGCAGGCTCTGGGAGGCAGCAGGTGTTGGGTCCCTGCCACCTATATGGGAGATCTGGATTGAATTCTTGGCTCTGGACTGGCCTGGCCTCTTGTCATTGTGGGTTATTTGGGGAATGAACCAGCAGATGAGAGCTGTCTCGCTCTCTTTTAAATAAATAAAAACAAAATTTAAAAAAAGGAAAAGAAAAGGGAACGAGGGAGATGGCAATTTGGGGAGAGAACCCCAACCATCACTGTTGACTTTGAAGATGGAAGAAGGGGCTGCAAGCCAAGGAATGCAGGTGGCTCTGGATGCTGGAAAAAAGCAAGGAAGTAGATTCTCCTAGAGCCTCCAGAAAGGAATGCAGTCCTGTTGACACCTGTGGTGGGATTCTGCCCTCCAGAACTATTGATAATAAGTTAGTGTGGTTTTAAGCCTCTGTGTTGATGGTAATCTGTTATAGCAGCCCCATGAACTAATTCACAGTTCCAGAGTCTCAAAGCCTGAACACCTGTCCAGATGGCATCCTCCTGCAAGCAGGGCCCTAGAGAATCTGCCTCGACCTTTAGCAACACAGAGCCAGGCTTTCAAAGACAGAGCTGCATGCTGTGCCCTAGACACCAAGAGCAGCCCCAACTGTGCTGCAGGGTGGGCGTGTGCCTGGGTTTCCATGGTGCACTTTGCCTAGATTCTTTGCTGTTTTAAAAAGAAAAGCATCCAGACGGAGAGTTCCCAAATAAAGTCTTGGCCCCAAAGCAACATTTTACCAGCTTAACACAGGAAAATACTTTTTAAAAAATGTCTCCGGGTGAACAGAGACGGCTTTGTATTTGGTATTGACCCTGGTCATGCTCTAGTCATGCGGAGGGCGTGTGGATGAGATCCTTTGCTGCCAGATGTGGGGAGGTGATCAGCCTTCTGTTGTCTGCAGGTGGCCAGCTGCTCAGCAACCTGGGCCCATTATCAGGGTGATGAGTCAGTACCTGACACTTGGCTTTGTGCACTGTCAGTCACACCCTCCAAAGCTCAGAGGCTGGTACTGGGGCTTGCACCACATCAGCTGCCTGAAGCCAGAGCAGGCCACCTATGCCGTGGTTGCCACAGCGTCCGTGAGCGTTAGAGAGCAGGAGGGTGTGTTTTCCCTAAAAGCCAGCTGTTCCACACCAGATTGAACAATTTTAGCCAACTGAGCAAATTGAGGCCCAATAAATGGGAGCTCTGGGTGGTGGCTTTGTCTGCCTGGGAGCTGAGTGGAATGAGCTTATGCAGGATGAGCGCACACACTCCTGCCTGCACCCGCACCCCCACTCAGGCTCAGCCCTGCAGCTAGCTCACCATGCTCCTGTGTGCTTTAGGGTGCTGAGCGCCACAGGCAGCTTGACAAGCCACTCCTGGCATGCAGGCTCCGTCACCTTCATTCCCACTTTGCAGATGGACACAGATGCTGAGGCTCAGAGACCTGACTGGCCATGCAGCTGCTGAGAACTGGTCCTGGGTTTAACCCAGGGAGACACCCTGTCTGCTGTGCATCAGGGTGCAGCCCATGCTGGGGCTCAGGGAGGTGCTAGCTCAGTGGCCTTTGCATCTGGGGCACAGCTCTTCAACTTCTAGTATGCACACAGCAATGTGGGGGTAGTAAACCTGAGGATGAAGACCTGAGTCCAGCCCGATCTCCCTGGGGACACCCCGTCTGCACCTAACTGCTGAGTTCTCTTTTGCTAGACTCCAAAGTTTCCCCTCTCCCCTACCTCATAGATTTATTTATTTATTTGAAAGGCTGAGTTACAGTGAGGCAGAGACAGAGACAGAGGGAGAGACAGAGAGAAGTCTTCCATCCCGTTGGTTCACTCCCCAAATGACCTCAATAGCCAGAGATGTTCCAATCCAAAGCTAGGAGCCAGGAGCTTCTTCCGGATCTCCCACATGGGTGCAGGGGTCCAGTCCTTTGGGCCATCTTCCTCTGATTTCCCAGGGCATAGCAGAGAGCTGGATTGGAAGTGGAGCAGCTGGGACTTGAACCGGCACCCATATGGGATGCTGGAACTGCAGGTGGCAGCCTTACCTGCTACACTACAGCCCTGGCCCCATCCTCTCTCTTTTTAAAGCGAGTTACTTAAAAGCAAAACAAAATGTCCCTTCACCCAGAGCAGGCTACCGAGTCTAAGGGTTCCCTTGTGTCCACTTCTGCCTCCTGGGCAGGCAGCACTGACTTGCTTCTCTCCTCTCACCTGAGTTACTGCAGAAATACCCCATCGTTCAGCAGCTGCCCTGCCTTCACTGTGCACCCTTTCCAGCCGAAAGCTGGCTGCATTCCTTCATTCGGTGCACATCTGAAGAACTCCTGTACACCATCAGCGGGAACGTGCATTAGTACAGGTATTCTGAAAACAGTGTGAAGGTTCCTCAAAAAATTAAAAGCAGAACCACCATAGGAACCCTCCATCACACAACTGGGTAGATATCCCAAAGGAATGACAAGGAGTTGTCTGCAATCCCATGTTTATTGCAGCACTACTCACAATAGGCCAGACATGGAGTCAACTTCAATGTCCATCGACAGATGCATGGATGACAAAAATGTAGTATGGGCACACACAACATATTACCATTCAGCTTTGTATAAAGGGTGAAACCCTGTCATGTGTGACAACGTGGATGGACCTGGAGGACATTGTAGGAGGGTGAATAACTTAGGCACAGAAAGACAAAAGCTGCATGAACTCATGTGGAATCTAAAGCAGTGGAACTCACAGAAGCAGAGAGTAGCATGACGATTATCAGAGGCTGGGATGCTGGGGGAATGTTGATGTGCTGGCTAAAGGGTACAAAATATCAGAGGAATACATGATTAGCATTTAAGGTGTTGCATATAATATGCTTCATTCAACCATCCCATACTACATGCATATATCATAACGTAACCATGTACCCCATAATTGTATATGGTTATTACTTACAAAAAATATCTGTGGTATGACCAAATGGGAAGCAGGAGACAGACTGATTTCAGTGAAGGAAGGAAATGGTTCTTAGGGTGTTAAGTTTTTGGGACTAGAACCAAGGTAGGAAAAGGAAGAAATGTGGACAAAGCTCAGTTAATTTATTAGGGCTTGTGTTCAAAGGATAGTAAATGCTGATCCTGTGTTTATTCACAATTTTAATGTTTTTACTTCTCAGGGATATTTTTCATGGATTTTGTTTTTAGATTGCATTAAAATTTTATTCAGCTTAATTAGTGAGCTTTTATTTTAGGTGCCCCGTTGCCTTTTGCACCTCAGAAGGGAACCTCACCTTTCTTATCCCAGCTGCATCCTGACCTGGGTTCAGTGTCATCATGAAAAGATATTTTTTTAAAATTTATGATAAGTGAGAAGGCAGATTTGTTAACTAGCTTGATGTAATCAATCCATAATGTAGATGCTTGCCTTGTATGCCATAAACATATGTAGTTATTATCTGTCAATTTAACACATTTTTCAATAACATAATTCTTAACATCATTGACTCATTCCTTAGAATGAGGCCCTAGAGTCAAAGGTGTTGAAGGTCTCAGTAGCTCCTGTTAGTTAAGGATCGTTGCTAATTGTTAGATTTCTGTGTTTGGGATAGGGTGGAAGGGAGGAATGTCAGGAATTGAGATACCGTGTTCCACAACTTTTAATTTATAAAATGCCTGTAGTAGCCAGGTCTTCATTTCCACAACCAAAAAACCTGAGGAGAACTAGCTTACAAAGGAAAAGGTTTCTTCTGGCTCACAGTTTTGAGGGTTCACAGTCCAAGATCAGGTGTCCCCATTGGTCTGGCATCTAATGCAGGTGGCAGATCACATGTGGCGGGAGGATCATACGGCATGTCAGGAAGCAGAGTGAGAACAGCTGGACCAAGCTGGGCGTATGTAACCCTGAGAACTGCATTTCATGGTCACACCTCCAGGGGCCGAAAGAGCTCCTGCTACTCCATCCTCATAGACCCCATAATTGCATCCTGTCCATGAACCGTTCACCTTGATCCATGAACCATTAACATAAGATTTTGAGGTTTAGATGTCTGTATGAGTTGGGAGCCAATCATGTTGAAGTCATCCCATTGATCAGGTTATAAATAGCAAATTATAAATGGAACACTTGGATGGGAGTAATTCATAGTGTTATTCCCAGGCCATTTGTGCTTCGGTTGGTTGGATTTTATTTCTTTATGGAACATGCTCATATGTATTGTTTAGTCTTAGTTTTTGTTTGCTTTGCCTTTTAATGAAGAATTTTGCTAAACAGTCTTTTGGTTCATCTCAGAGCCATCATCTCCCTGAGTTGTGTAGCTCAGTCCTCTGTTTATAGAGACAGTGCTTAAGGGTGGGAGTGTTTCTTCCATAGAGAAGCAGAGTAGACCTAGCAGGCTGTTGGATGGCTCCAAGTGGAATCACTTTATCTGTCTTATTGCTGTGGCAGGGATATGTGATGCATTTTTTCTTTTTAATGATTTATTTATTTGAAAGTCAGATCCTCATAGAGAAAGGAAGTGACAGAGAGAGAGAGAGAGAGAGGAAAATCTTCCATCCTCTGGTCCACTCCCGAAATGGCTGCAGCGCTCAGGTCTGGACCATGCAGAAGCCAGGAACCAGAAACTTCTGGGTCTCCCTGTGGGTGCAGGGTCCCATGGATGGGGGTCATCCTCCACAACTGTCCTGGGTGCATTAGCAGGGAGCTAGATCGGAAGTGGAGCAACCGCGACTTGAACCAGCATCCATTTGGGATGCCAGCGTTACAGGTGGCAGCTTTGCCTGTCACACTAGAGCTCTCACCACAAAAACAAATTGGTCAGTACGTGAGATGGTGAATCTACTAAATAGATTGATTAAATCATTTTGTGATGTGTGCTTATATGAAAACCTAACATTGTACCCTATAAATAGATAACTAGTATTTGTGACTAAATTTTTAAAAATGAATTTTTAAAAGTTCCCAAAGCTGCAGAAAGTACAAGCCTTCTTTACACTGAGATCAGATTCCTGCTACTACCACCTTCTGCCCAGCAATTCGTTGTCCAGCGACCCATTAGACCCACCCCTGAAGGATAGCAGCCCGGCTCCAAGCTGAGCTCTGACCCTGCTCAGGATGGCTGCCTGACCATGAGGTCCCATGTCGATGGACCCATTGGTAGAGGAACACATCCCCTCGTGCTATGGGGAGGAAGCCGCGGATGAACTGGGGCCAGCGCACCGTGCGGACTAATCAGCACTGAATGTGCAAGAACAAAGCCGTCTTTTGAAGTTCCCACCCGGCATCCTCCAGGTGGAAACTGCAGGCTGCCAGCACCCACATGGTCCTGTTCAGAACCAGGTGGCGAAGATGAAGCTGATAAGTAGATTCATGAGCTCAGAAGCAATCTGCCGGGTTCTTCCCTGTGAATATTATTACACAGGACTCCAGGAGTGAAGGAATCAGTACCTGGAGACATAGTCCCAGGGAATAATAAACTCAGTGCTGTTCCCCGTGTGACAGATTTGGGGAAAGTTAGCACCACTGCCGAGATTAAGGATAAGAACTGTCACAATGGCCAAAACCAAGATCTGAGATGGGATTCAGTGCCATTAGATTGTTATTAATGTAATCAGAAACCCAAAAACCTTAGAACAATTTTTACTGCTTGTTGCAGGCGTTTTAATCCCAAATTATGGGGGGAGAATGCAGGGAAGAACAGGCTATTCCCTCATCAATGTCCTGTGCATGAAGCATTTGCAACTGGACAGGAGAGGAGCTGGCGTGGAGTGGGGAGAGATTAGACCAGGTAAATGTTACAGCTAGACAAGAGGAGTAAGTTCTGGTTTCTGCTACACAGTAGAGTGCCTGCAGTTAGCAATAATGGTAGCTGAATTACGAGAGAGGTTTTAATGTTCTTCCATAAAGAAGTGATCAAAATTTAAGGTGATGGATCTATTAATTCCCTGATGTAATCATTGCCTAGTGTAGACATGATTAACAAAAGGGTTACATTGTACACCCCAAATGTGTGCCATTGTGTAAATCAAAAAATGGAATTAATAAAAAAGTATTGGAGCAGAGGTGACAGGTGGGTGCTGGCCTTCACACAGTGACAGTCACTTGAGGAGCCTGGCGGGTGGCATCCGGGCCCTGTGAGTGGCCTTAGCTGTGGAGCACTGGCTTATGGTGGGAACCCCAGCTGATTCAGTCCGTTAGAAGGAAGCTTGGCCTCCATGCCTGCTTGTGAAGTGACAAAAGACCTTCAATGTGTAACCACGTGTAACCTGCTCAATGTCCCCAAGCAGGAAAAGGTGGGGGGGGGCAGTGCTGTGGCATAGCGGGTAAAGCTGCTGCCTCCAGTGCCGGCAATCCATATGGGCGCTGGTTCAAGTCCCAGCTGCTCCACTTCCGATCCAGCTCTCTGCTATGGCCTGGAAAACCCGTAGAGGATGGCCCACGTCCTTGGGTCCCTGCACCTGCATGGGAGACCTGGGAGAAGCTCCTGGGTCCTGGCTTAGGATCAGTGCAGCTCTGGCTGTTGCAGCCAACTGGGAAGTGAACCAGCGCATAGAAGACCTCTTTCTCTCTGCCTCTCCTTCTTTCTCTGTGTAACTCTAACGTTCAAGTAAATAAATAAATCTTTAAAAAAAGACCTTTCATTTTTCTAAATAAAGATGGGTAAGAACTCCTATGATTCAGTAATGCCCATTTCTCAGCATCCCTCCTCCCCAGCCCCACTGATAATCTGCAATTGGAATACAGGAGCATCCTGCTATGCAGGATTTGGGGGCTGTTCTGACTCCAGCTGTGACCTTGAGCGGCTTCATCCTTTGATGGAAGCAGCACCTCCTTCCAGGAACCCTGTGCAGACCTAGTGGAAACAGTAACTCTGCAGGGGCAGCACTGTGAGGTCTTGCCTGCATGGCCTGCAGGAGACGGTGGCTGTCAGCATGACCCTTCTCACCATATTTTACCCAACAATCAGAACAAGGAGTGTGCATGTCCTTTGGCCTGAATTCTAGCTTCTTTTCCAATCTCAGACTAGCACTGAGTGAAATCAGGTTGCCCACGATGTCACTGTCCTAATTGTTTTACCAGGAAAAATTGAGATTTGACTTCCAAGCTGTGCATCACGAAGCTGTCTTTCGTCACCACGCCAACTGTCTCAAAAGAAATCACATCGCGGTCATGGATTTTTTAGCATCCTTTCGATTCCAGGGACCGAATCCTCTGAGTCAGGGTGGTATTTGTTGAAGGTCGGTTGCCAGCCGTTCTTTGTAGCCTGCTGCGATTCAGGGATATCTGCAATAAATAAATAAATATTGCTGCAGGGCTGGCTTCAGAGAGGCTGCCTGCAGGAGAGAGGCTGCTTTCATGATTTCTGCTTCTGTGTGGGAGGAGGAAGCTGGCATCCAGGGAGGCACTGGTGGTCACGAGAGGAGGCTCGGGAAGGACCCCATGGGTGCGGTGCATTGACCCAGTGAGTGAGAAAATGCATCTGCCATTCTGCCGCTCAGCCCCATCACGATGCAAATTGAGAGAAGCCAGTTTATGACCAGAGACACCTTTCACATTTACAGTTCTCATGCAGAGGAGTACGGAGCTCTGGGGAAATGGTGGCCTGGACTCCAACCTTCTCCCTCTCCTGCTGCACACCCTGGGTGGAGCAGCCACTGGGTCTGTGGGTGTCGGGGGCAGGCTGTGGGTTCAGTGCAGGTCATGGGCAGCACTGGGGCAGTGCTTCCACCCCTGCCCACCACGGGCCACAGACACTTGGGGGACAAGCACTGGAGAGCCCTGGGGTGAGTCCTGGGAGAAGCCTGGGCCTGCAGAGGTCCCAGGAGGTGTCAGTGAGGAACGTGCATGGGCAGTGACAGGGTGCCCTGGTCTTCCCTTGCTGCCAGGGTGGGAGAAAGCCTGCCAGAGAGGCGTGGAGGAAGCTGTGTGCTTGTGACTCTTTAGGGAAGCCACTTCACCTTCTGCAATGAAGGGACCCGCCGTCCCACCAGAAGGCAGACCAGGGCCCAGCTGTGTGACCGGTCATCCCCAGGGGCCTGGCAGCCAGGGGCAGAGTTGATGTGAGCAGATGGGGCTCATTCTCGATGCAGCAGTTGCTGGAGAAGACCTGGGACCACCACAGAAGCACTCCTTGTGATAGTACAGGGAGCATTCAGCACTTAGAAGTCGAAGAGTGTGTGTGAGTGGTGGTGGGGGCCAGTCAGTAGACATAGGAACAAAAACTGTGGGACACTTAGGAATCAATCAATAAGACAGGCCAACAGCAACATCTTTTGGGAGACTGTATGAAAGCAGCCACGTCTGCATAGGAGGAAAGCGTTATGGCAGTGCCAGTTCTCCCAAGAGCAGTGGGCATGGGTGCCGTACATCTCTACCTAGAACATTCTCTGGGAACTGAAGAGATGGCCTTAAAGTTTATAGTGCCACAGTATAGCCATTTGTAAAAAGAAGAGTGAGAAGGAGCAACTTTTCCTACCAGATACAGGAACCAGGGCTGCAGTGGCAACTTGTGCGTGAGTCACTGGTGCCTTGAAGAGAGTGGGGTAGGAACACCCCCCTCACCCCATCATGTACCCCACATATGGGACCAGGACCCTGCCCAGGGACATCTTCCACCCAGAGAGGACACCCTGGTCACTTTACAAGAGAGGCTCTTCTCAGCACTCAGGCCACTGGTGTCACTCACCAGACATGCCATGTGATCAGACCAGCACGGTGCAGACATGGAAAAGGACATGTAGATTGCTGGAACTGAACAGATAAACCCAAACAAAGTTCTGGGTGAGAATTTTCCGGGTAAGAGAGGGCACTTAGCTTCAGTGGAGTAAAGAGTACTTTCTACTGTTGATGCAACTGGAGGGAATATGTTGGACCCTTGAATTGTAACATATAGAAGGGAATATCAGTTCATCTGAACACTTACATCCTTTAAAGGAAATACTCTGTTTGTCCCCCACAGAAAAACCAAGCAAGCAAACCAGCAGGTACAATCCAGACATATAGGAGGCTTATTTATCCAGGCCTAGGAAAGTTAGCTATATTTAAGTATATACAAATATAAAACAAAATTGTACCGTAAGCAAAAATTAACGTTAAGAAACAAACAAACCATAGCTCTTTAGACACAAGTTATTTGCACTGCAAAAGACAGAAAAAGGGTTATTTTTTTAAATGCTCCTGGAGCAGGCATTTGGCGTAGCAGTTAAGACGCCCTTGGGCTGCCTACATCCCATATCGGAGTCCGTGCATTTGAGTCCTTGCTGTGTTTCTCATCCAGGTTCCTGCTAATGCGTTAGATCCCCAGAAAGCAGCAGGTGATGGCTCAAGTGCTTGGGTCCTTGTCACCCACATGGGAAACCCAGATTGAGTTCCAAGCTCCATGCTTTGGCCAGGCCAGGCCCTGGCTACTGGGGGCATTTGAGGAGTGAACCAGCAGATGGAAGATTTCTCTCTCTCTCTCTCTCTCTCTCCGTCTCTCCCGATCTTTGCTTTTCAAATAAAATGAAAACAAAATTTTTAAAACGTTGTCACAGGTTAAGTTGTCAACAAGGCAGCAAAGAGCAGTGTAGTAGAATGAAGGTGGGGGGGGGGGTGCTGTGGCAGAGTCGGCTAAGCTTCAGCCTGTGGCACCGGTATCCAGTATGGGTGCCGGTTCTAATCCCAGCTGCTCCTCTTCCAACCAGTTCTCTGCTATGTCCTGGGAAAGCAGTAGAAGATAGCCCAAGTGCTTGGGCCCCTGTACCCACGTGGGAGACCTGGAAGAAGCTCCTGGATCCTGGCTTCAGATTGGCCCAGGTCCAGCTGTTGCAGCCATTTGGGGAATGAACCAGTGGATGGAAGACCTTTCTCTCTTTCCCTCTCTCTGTCTGTAACTCTACCTCTCAAATAAGTAAATAAATACAATCTTAAAAAAAAAAGCCTCTTAGGGAAAATGATTAAAAACACAGGGCATCACCATAAGAATGGGGCTCCTATAACTTCTTCCCATTTCACTGGCATTTCTTTAATTGAATGAATTAACAAAGGAGACATTACCTTGAGACCCTAACAGTGTCTGCACAGTGTTGTAAAGGCTTTACAGATGGGCATTTGGGCAGCCTGCAGTGCTGGCCTTCCATATTGGCACTGGTTAGAGTCCCAACTGCTCCCCTTCTGATCTATCTCCCTGCTGATGGCCTGGGGAAAGCAACAGAAGATGACCCAAATACTTGGACTCCTGCCACCCTGTGGGAGATCTAGAAGAAGCTCCTGGCTCCTGGCTTCAGCCTGGCCCAGTCCCATCTTGGGAGTGAACCAGCAGATGGACAATCTCAAAGGTTTATTTTATTTATTTGAAAGGTAGTGTACAGAAAGAGGGAGAGACAGAGAGAGAAATATCTTCCATTAGCAGATGGCCACAATGGGCCGGGCTGGGCCGGGCTGGGCCAAGCGGAAGCTAGGAACCAGGAGTTTCCTGCAGGTCTCTCACAAGGCTGCAGGGACTGAGGACCTGGGCCATCCTCTGCTGCCCTCCAAGGCTCACTAGCAGGGAGCTTGATCCAAAGCAGAGCAGCAGGGACTCGAACCAGCCCCTAAACGGGATGCAGGAATCACAGGCAGTGACTTTACCCACTACATCACAACGCCAGCCCCAATAAATAAATCTTTAAAAAAAACGTGAAAAGAAATGCTTCTTTAAAAAAAAAAAAGAAAAAGAAAAACAAATGGGCAGCAGCATTTTGAGATGTCTATGGAGGTGCTTTCAAAATGTCCCACCATCTCTAGGATGATTTGTCAAAAAATAATGCTGTGTTAAAGCACACTAAGGTGTTTATAAGTTGTCTTATATTTGGGTGTCACTGTGCAGTCACAAGCCACTATACTTGCTGGGAAAAATTCACACATTCCAGGTGTTCCATGTTGCGTGTTGTAGCGATTCGAGTTCAGGGTGTCCCAGTCTCTCGATGAGAACTTGGCATCATTTGTCCGTTCTGAAGAAGGCAAAGCCCCTGGTGACCCTGGGGAGCTGTTGCCGGGGCAACTCAGTGCCTTTCTGACTTCTCCTCAGAGCGGCCAGTATTTTCCATTCATCTTGATTCATTTGAGCAGTCCACCGCCTGCACACAAGTGCTTCCACACACATCCGGGACATTCTGTACAGCTCATGTCACTTTTAGGAGCTGATTTTGGGCGTTTGGCTCAAACTGCATTTTGGGTATGTTTGCTGTTGGAAAATTCACCCTGGGATGATCTCTCATCTCTCGCTGCCTCTGGGTTTGAGTCGTGGATGCAGAGCCCGTTGTTAGCCAGTCTCACGGAAGGAGCAGATGCTTCAGTTCCTGGTGAGAGGAAGACGCGTGCTGCATGTTGCGCAACTACACTTGGCTCATGGCCCCGCTGTGGATTTTGCCATTTCTGTTTCAGTGCTGAGTTCTCACCTACATGATTTTTAAAATATGTTGCTTAATAATCCACCCTGCAGAATGCTCATTCTGGGTGTTTCAACGCAGTGGCTCTCACCTGGGCGTGGTCTTGTCCCTCCGAGGTGTCTGGCAGTGGCTGGAGCCATATTTGGTTGCCACAGTCACTGGAGGAGGCCGCTGCTGGCTTTGCACAGGGAAAGGCCAGGGCTGCTGCTCAACACCCTACAACACACACAGTGCTGGGCATCGAGGGATTCCCTGGTGCAAAACGTCAGAAGTGCGAGGGCTGAAACGCCCTTTACAGCTGTTGTCTCCCTCATTCTGAGCCTTCCCCTTCTCTGCCTGTTGTGAACTGAGGGCATGTTACATTTGGCGTAATTCTAGTCTTGCTTAGTCTTTGTAAATTGCTATAAAATCTCTTTCAATCTTTCACTCTCTCGCTCTCTCTCTCTCTCTCTCTCACACACACACACACACACACACGCTCCTTTTTAGTCTCCCATCTGAAAAATAAATTCCGTGCCGAATTTTCTTATTCCCAAGGCATCAGGCCTTGGCACTAATGACTATTCCATGAGATTCTTGGCGCTCTTGCTCTGACCCCGCTGTATGGAGCCTGCCTCTCTGCCTCTCAGCCTCATGCTTTTTCTGTTCGCTGATAGCAGCAGTGTCCTGTTCTGCTCTTGGTTGGCAAAGGCATCCTGCAGTATCCTCTTGCTTGGGAGGGCTGAGTGTAGCTGACTCATAAGTTAGTTCACGAGGTTTCCTCTTTTCTTAACAGTGTCTTCTGTGGGTCTTTCTAGATACTGTACTTTGGGCCTTGCCTGACCTTGAAGCTTTTGGAGGGAAAGAGAATGCATTAGACTGTTTTGTCATAAGGCACACAGCATCTCAGTAGTCCCAGCTGGCTCTGTCTGTGTTGGGATGTGCTTCTCAGGAGCTGCCTTACCAACAGGCAGTGTTATAAACTGACAAGGAGGCCAGAAGCAGCCAGATGTTTGGAGAAGAGCTTTGTCTTTATGGGGATTAATTTTCCCACGTCCATAAAATATACTAAACCTGTAATCAGATCTGTGTGTTTAAACGTAAGCAGTACCCATCCCTGTGCTGTTTCCTTGAAATCCTGTGAAAGATTACTGTGTACTATATGTCTAATTAAACAAAATACTTGCTCTTATTTTAATTCCAAGCCACTTATCGTATATAGGATGTAACTTGCTGCTCATTTGTAGTATTTCTGTTTTAATTAGTCAAACACATAGTTTGAAAATAATAGCAGAAACAAATCATGCACAAAATCAAAAAAATAAAGAAGAGATCAAATAGCCACCATGGTCTCAAGTGCTTGAGAGATCACTGTCGACAGTGTGGTGCCAGCTAGGGGAGCGTGAAGCCCTGGACGGGAGCAAAGGGCTGCAGGATGTGTGTGGGTGTGTGTGTGCGTGCATGCACATATACACACTTGCGGGGGCTCTGGGGGCAATGGAATAGCTTCTGCTAGGACAGCCTGTGCAGAGAGGTCAGACCCCAATTTGCAGATCCACAGCATGGGAGCCTGTAGAGCCCTGCTTTCCTGTGGTTGAGTCATCTCCTGGGGTGAAACCATTTACCGTGTGTGTGCTGGGGCGTGGTCATCCTAAATAGCAGCGCTGACCAGATGTGCGACATCGTCCCCAAAGCAGTCACGTAGTTGTCTTTCTAACCATTTCCTGCAGGAGGGATTCTGTGGGTAAGGGTGGGGCAGCTCTGTGAGACAGCTTAGCTGCCCAATGGGAAGCTGGCCCCTTGGTCCTTAGCCTCCCTTCTGGAAGGGTCAGGTGTGCTGTGCTCCTGTTGGGAAGCAGCCAGAAGCTGCCAGGTCAGCCTGAAGCCATGAGAAACAGCAGCTGCCTGCCCTAATAAGAACTCTCAGAGCTGCCCAGTTAACCCAGAGGGACATGCCCAAGGTGAGAGGCGGGGGGAGCTCGCTGTGCCGCTGGGGCCGCAGCTCAGCCGGTCCTGGCCGCAGGTGGTCTCGGTGAACGATGAGCTCATCCCTCAGTCGGCTAAGGCCCATGTGGGGCACGTGTCCCAGTTTGTAGCAACAACTGCAATGTGCTGACTTTTGACCTTGGGGCCTCTGTGTGAAACGAGGCAAGAGTTTTGGCGGATGGACTGAAATTTGTTATTCTGTGTCTGTCAAACTTGGGCATAAATCTGGAACTCTCTGCCTTCCCATTCTTTTTAAAACACAGCAGATATTCTGTTCTCGACCACCCCATTGGTCTCTAGCTGCATAACTTAAAAGGGAAAAAAATGAAGAGATTTTTCAGTTAGCCTTTTACGAAGCCGCCATTGGACAGTTGTCCTTTAGGCTAAGATCAGATGTGCCTTCAAAAATCAAACATCCCCAAGGCATCATGGATCCTGGAGTCACATAGATGTGTGTGGTCTTGGACAGGTCAGCCTCTCCGTGGTCAGTTTTCACATCTGTGAATGGGAGCATAATGTAGGAAGAGGGAGCTCAACACCATGAAATGGTCTGAGCAGCATCCAAGGAAGTGGTGCTTTTATATTTTTTATGTTCTGATGAGTATTTTAAATGTGATAGTTATGTTAATTATACATATGTATGGGGAGCAGTGTGATAAATTCGATTCATGTATACAGTGTGTACTGTAAAATCAGAGTAATCCACATTTCCTCTCCTTGTTCATGCTTTATGTTTGAAGACTTCAAGCTCGTCTCTTCTGTTTAATCATAAAATACATAATGGGTTGTTGTGAACTAGAGTCACCACATATCACTGTGTTTTGGTTCTCATTACCCGGCCTCCTTCATCTCCCTCTCCCTCCTGCCTCCAGTAGACCATTGCAAGGTAATGATGATGTCTCCATGATGAGAGGAATTTAGCACCCAGAGCTCCAGCTGGCTTTGGCACAAAGACCTGGCCAGGCCCTGAGTCACCCCCTTGTGTTGCAGTCAGCTTATGCACAGCTCTGTCTTCCGAAAGGCTGCACAGCCTGGCATGGGTTGGATGCACATGTTCGTGAGTGATAAACAGGTCTGGAGGGAGACAATTAAGTGCTAAGATGTTTGGAAGGATGACCTTCTGTACTCACAGGTCTGCCATTGCAACTTCCAGCTTCCAGAAATGATTACAGCAGCACAGACAGTCGGGGACTGTCTTTCCAGCAGTATCCACTCAGCCAAGGAGGGGTGAAGGCAGACGGGTGAGGGCAGAAGGCAGGATGCCCTGGGCTTCTGACTCTACCCAGCCTCTGGAGGTGGCGGGCACTGCGGAGCCTCATGCTGTCCTCCCTCCTGTAGGACCTGCCCTCACCCACCTGATGCCATGTGCCGGCCTCACAGCTCCCTGCTGACCTGTCCCTCGCCGTGGGTGTGCACCTCCCCTCCATGTGCTTTTGCTCTTTGGCTTCCCCACCTCACTGCTTCCTCACCCTGTAGAGTCTGTGCTGAGCTCACAGCTCTGCCTTGGCCATCGCCCCTTACCCCCCATCCCAACGCTTTGTCCTGCTGCTCTCAGTGATGCGGGCTCCAGTCACCTCTGTGCCCTGGAGCCCCAAACTTGTACCTCTGTCTTCCTTTGCTTTCCAAGCTATCCATGTCTGCAAGCTTCTAGAACGCAAAGTTGCTCATGGTTGGACTCTCTGTCCCTTCTCAAAGCAGACCACGTGCCTGGTTGAGGTTGGTGGTGTCCCACTTTGCAGCCCTGGGCTCCTTATCTGACCTTCTTAGTTGTCTGCTCAGCCAATCTTGCACTTTGTCTCTTTCAAAATCTCCTAACCATGAACTGGCCTTTGAGAACAGCTGTGGGCCTGGCCCTGGTTTATCTTCTATTTTAACACACACCCTTCCAACCTTGTCCTAAATCAATTCTACTCTTTAGGTAGTCCCTCAGAGGTAGGGAGGGATTTGGGTTAAACTAAGGTTTTTCTCACCCTTCAGAACTGGTTCAAATGCCTCCTCACCTGGGAAGTACTCCCTGGTTGCCTAATCAATAGGGATGTTCATCCTCTCACCTTGTTAATTGTTCTTCAAAAGTTTTACTTCTCAGTCTTAAAAACCTTCATCTCCTGCCTTCTTCACTTTCTGCCCTGCCCATTCTGACCCAAGACTCATTCTCTTTGTGGAGGAGGGACGACTATAAAGGGAGAGAAAGCAAGGTGGGGGGTGGGCAGTGAGATGGGCCGTCCTGGTAGCCCCATTCCGCCCCTGCCCCTGAAGCTGTGGGTGTGTGGTGTACATCGTGGGCTGGGGTAGGGGGGAGTCCTATGAGTAGCTGTGAAGACTATCTGGGGTTCCATCACACGAACATTTTAGGAACATGACAAAGTGTGCAGTACAGTGTGGCCACACAAAGTGGTTAGATAGTCTGAGGGTAAGAAAACCAAATGTGAATGTGGGTTAACAGACAGATGAAGCTTCTCGTTCGTCTCCTGAGTTGGTGTCTCTGGCTGTGAGACGCTCTGCGAAGCACAGCGGATGCTTGTGTGCATCTGTGGTGTCTCGTGGACACTGCAGGACGTGTGGGCGGCACCATCACCCGCCCCTGCTTTGTGTTGACGGCAGCGCCACTAAACTCGAGAGATCCTGTCGCGTCACGATGGAGAATGACTCGCTGTGTGTAGAATCAGAAATGAGGGTGTGTCTTCCTCTTGCATCTTTGCATCCAGCCCAGAAAGATTCTTGCAAGTGAAACTGTCCTGAACACACAGGCTGGGACAGAGAGCATGGGCAGTGCCATTCCGACTGTTGGCTGTGACTGTTCTGGGATGGAACTTTCTGGAATGGAAGTCGGTCTCCAGGGGTGTTAGTTGCTTGCAGGTGAAGCTGGAATGTGTCCCCACCTTAAGAAACATTGTATCCCTTTGCTGTTAGGGAAAATTGTAGCCAAATAACACAAATGCAAATCCACTCAGAAACAATGCATTAAAAATAAAAGAACAATTTGTTCATTTCTTGAAGATTTTTTCTTTTTTTTTAATTTTCATGAAAGTTTGTTTGGTTATAGGAAATAAAACTTTATATTCCCCATTTTGGACTGGTTCATGTATACATTGTGGTGACACCAGAAGTGATACGGACACTTGAACAGTACAGACTGTGATGTGTTTCAAGACATAAAGCATTAACAACACATTTCTGAGCAGTAATCCTTAAACCCTTCCTTATGCTACAGAATAGTCATAGCAGTTTCCTGGTCAAAAGCATGTTTTCAGTTGGTTAAGGCAATGGTTTCAAATTCCACAAGTCAGCCATCCCCTCTTGGGAAATTAATTACTTAATAATCTTGGAAACATAACGAGTAATAGTAGTTTAATTCAGTCTAAACAAATGTCCCAAAATGATGAATTAAGACACTTTAATTTGTTTTTTCTTTTTCCTGATTGTCCTTACACACCCCCTGGTCATTCTAATTATAACATTCCCTTATCCTTTCACCCTTGCATTGTGCTGTTTTGCACAAATAAGGCTCGGATAAGAACCGTAAGGCTCAGTGTGGCTGATTCTAAAATGTAGGCAGTTTTGCTCAGAAAAGATGAACACTAATCTTGGAAGCTGCCCCTTATCCTGGTAACAGACCTTGGACATCATCTACTTAATGGCCTCAGCATGGCCGCTGAGCACACAGAGGCCAAGAAGTGAAGTGGCTGTCAGAGAGACACCTGCTGACCAGTGGCAGGGTTGGGCTGTCCACTTCCAGTCTGGAGGGAAGGTGGCCTTTGGTGTTTCTAGGAAATACCTGCTGTGCCTGGGTCTTTAACTACATCTTTCAAACAAGACATTTCTTCACTATCTCCTCGTGTTTGTTTTTGGTCTCAGAAATACCACACCCTTTCCACCAACCCCCTCTGAACTCATGGATCAAGTGAGGATTTGGACTCTGGGAATCCTGAGCAGGAAATTGAGGCTGATGGGAAGAGTTAGTTGTCATTCCGGTGGAGTCACCAGGTGCCCTGCAAGTGTTTACTCATCTCCGAAACCGCTCATGTCCTAAGACTTCACGTTTTCCAAGTTTTCTTCATTTTTATACTCCACTCACACGCTGTGAATGTGACTTCGCAGAGAGAAGCCCATTTGGATGTTAAGCATGCTTGCAATGCAGTCTTTCTTGCGAAGGAGCCTCTCTTGGATGGGGACGTTGTAAACCGAAGTGCCGAGGGCGTTTCTCATTTGCTGCGTAGCTGAGAAACCGCTGCAGCCGTGCAGGAAATGGAAACGGTGTGTACTCTTCTGTTGCTGAGTAACAAATCACTACAAACGCAGTAGTACAGCCCTCACAGACGTCCTCTTCGTGGTCTCTGTGGGTCAGAGACGGGGAACAGGTTAGCTGGGTCCCCTGCACAGGGTCTCACTAGACTGAGGTCAAGGCTCTGGCCAGGGCTGGAGGGTCGGCGTCTTCTTGTCAACTCACGAAGCTCTCGAAGAACTCAGCTCTTTGTGCAGGAAGGTCTGTGCCGTGGTTTGCATGTCCCCCTAGAAGCTCAGGCTGAAACGTAATCCGCCTTGCGAGGTATTAAGCGGGGATTAGGACTGTGCGCTCATGAATGGCTTCATTCAGTCATGGATTCATAGGTTCATAGGTGATCTCAAGAGTGGATCTGTTGTAAAAGCCAGTTTGGCTCTGTCTTTAGTGTGTGCCCCTTGTACCACGTGAAACTGTGCACTGCCCCGGGACTCTGCAGAGTCCTCACCAGCATGAAGGCCCTCACCGGATGCAACCCCTTGACCTTGGACCTCCCCAACCTCCAGTACCACAAACTGAATAAACCTTTGTTCTTTATAAATTACCCAGTCTGCCGTACTCAGTTATAGCAACAGAAAAGGGACTAAGACAGTCAGATACTCCATTCTCTTGCTGACTGATGGTAGGGTTGCACCCTCTGGCCCTGGTCCCATGACCCACTTGCCCTCTTACACCTCGTTGATTCTGATGTTCAACTCAGACTTACAGGGCTCACATGGGTGGGTTGGCACCCTGGTCGGTCTCCCTATTGTTCAGCTCATAATCTATTGATGGGTCTCCTTGGTTCCATCCCCAGAAATGACTCCACCACACCAGTAGGCCCACTTCACTCAGGAGTCCTTGCTTGGGCCTGTAAGCCAGACGTGGGGATACTGAGGCTGTCTCACAATCCTGCAACCACGTGGGGGTAGCACCTGTCCTTGGAAGGAATATCAAGTGGGTAAACTAACTAGAGGCACTTCCTAAAATTGTTGTCAGTGCACCCTGTTGTATTGAGAACTGTGACTTTTTTAAGCCTTGCCATGGCAGAAAATGCAACCCATCTCACAAGAGCCTGTGGTCCCCAGAGGAATGCAGGCATTTGCCTGGGTAGGGTTAGAACAAGGGCATTTGCAGGGTGGCCCTGGAGTACTGCACCCCCTGGGGACTTTTCCAGTGCAGAAGAATGGTCACATGTCCTGTCCACCTGAACATCACACCATGCTCAGTGACCTGGAAGCTGGAAGTCCAAGTTCCAAGTGCTGGCAGGGTTTGCTCCTTCTGAGGCTCTCTCCTTGGCTGCTTCTGTGCTGTGTGCTCTCATGGCCTCTCCTCCGTATGTGTGCACAATCCTGGTGTCTCTTCTTCTTGCAAAGACACCAGTCATATTGGATTAAGGCCCATGCTTCTTGCCTTATTTTAATTTATTTAATTACCTCTGTGAAGAACTCATCTCTAAAGATAGTCACATTCTTAGGGCCTGGTGCTTAGTGTTTTAGCATATGAATTCTGAGGAGGGCACACAATTTAGAAAACACCAGAAAAGACTGGCAAAATAGCAATTAAATATTGTACTCCCAATAAATAGCTAGATGAATGGATTATTAAAAAAATACAAAATAATAGTAGAAATGCAGCATGCTGGGACGTGGTAGGGTTGGGGTAGGCCAGATTCAGCGCCAGGTGCCCCAGCTTGAAAGAGTTGACAGGATTTTGAGCCTCAATGGGGAATCTTCTTCCTTTGGATTTGGACATAGCAAGGCAGCTCCATCATGCTGCCCCTCCACAAATGGTTTCTGAGTCTGGGTTCTCCAGGGGCCAGCTCACTATGAATTCTTGTGGCCTGAGTAGTTGTGTGTGTGTGTGTGTGTGTGTGTGTGTGTGTTTCAGGAGCCAGTGTTCAACCTTCAGGCCTCGTGGAGCCTGATTTTGCTCATGTGACTTTCCATAGCCTATGTGGCCCTCCCACCCACTGTGGACCAAGGTCTCCACATAGCACCCCTGTTGCTTGGTCTCAAGAGTGGGAAACTGAGTGGTCTCAAGAGGTTTTGGGGAAATTCTGCTCTGAAATTACTGCCTAAAAACATGTTCCAGGTGGAGCTAATACTTTATGATTACAAAGCAGATGGAAACCAGCCTTATTTTTGATGAGGTTTATAACTGGAATGTAGTTAGCATAAACACTTAGTGCTGCAGGGCCTAGGAACTGTGTTTCTCTGTCCCCTCCCCATGGTCATGATTGTTGTCCTGAGGAGCCCTGTGGCACCTCAGCTGCTCCACTGACTCCTGGGTAAATGCTGCCCTCCTCTATGGCAACAATGAGTTATCTTTGGAAACTTTCTTTCAAAGGCCCTTTCACATTGCTTTGTACTTTCTTTAGGAACTCAACAAATGGCCACAATAAGGAAGAAAGTCTAAAAAGTTAATCTTAACAGTGATATAAAGTCAAGGTCTGATCTTTGGAAAAGGAAATAGAAACGTGGTTGGAATATTTTAATATGTCAGACCTCAAGGCTGTCTGCCCCTATGCCAGGAAGAGGTCAGACAGTTTGGCAGTAAGCAAGAAAGCAGGTGATACTACTACTTCTTTATATGTTTACTTAAAAAGCAGAGACATCATCATCAGAAACAGAGAACTCCCATCCACTGGTTAATTACCTGAATGCCTGCAACAGCCAGAGCTGGGCCAGGGCATAAATAGAAGCCAGGAACTCAAAGTGTGCCTCCCATGGTTGCACCATCCCATTGCTTGCGCTGTCACTGCTGCCTCCCAGGGTGAACGTTAGCAGGAAGCTGGAACTGGGAGCAGAGCCAGAACCCAAATCCAAGCACTCTGATATGGGATGCAGGCATCCCAGTGACATCTTAACCTCTGCGCCAAATTCCTGCCCCTCACTGCCACTTGGTTGCCTTGTCGGAGAGCCAGCCGACCCTGGGGCTAAGATATGATGGGTCAGGGCTTGGCCATGACCACTGGGCCTGGAATTTCCCTGGGGTAACCGTGGTGGGGCCTATTGGCCAGCAGGCAGTAGGGTTGGTCCCAGGTAGTGACACAGCTTTGAAACATGCTTGTAGGGAGTGATGGGTTGACGTAAATTTGTGGCCACATCTAAGACTCCAGGGTCATTGTCTAGTGGTTGTGTCTTGCCATGCATTAGTTTTGAGGACAGAAGCTGAATATTTACATTATCTTTGCTCTCCCTGCACTGTCCAGACCTGTGTTTTGTATGTATTGGTTGTGAATCTTGAGTTAGACAAGTGCCAAAAAACAGAGGCTTAAAAGGGAAGGAGATACTTACAGCATCTGGAGCAACTGATGGCCGGGAGCCCCTTGAAGATGCCAGAGATTCCCTGAGAGCCACACCTTGGAATAAAATAGAAGTGGAAACACTGGTGGGTGGCTTCCTAGCCCTGTAAACCCTGCACGCTTCCCAGTGCTCAGTGGTCTGATGGATGAGGCTAACCTGGTTCACTTGAGACCCAGACTTGCTGCCTCATCCTCTCTCGGAACTCAGGATAGGAGTGGGGTTTCATGGGCAGATGGGAGGACCTGTAAGGAGCTATGCTTAATGGGATGTGTTTTTAGTGCCTTTTTCTCAACAGTGTCACCCAGAGAATTTCTTGATGTGATTTCTTCGTACAACATGTCATGTTAAAACAAATTATGTTGCTCTACATATTTGAAGATGGTCAAAGTTGTCTTCAAGGATCTTTTAAAACTAGACTTTATAGGACTAAGTGATATATTTTTCCAGGGTTAAAAAGTCTAGAGAAGGAATCTGCAAATACCATTTTCATCTAAATGCATATGATAGCAACCAGCAGATCTTGAAAGCCGAATGTGTTGCTCGTAGTTCTAAGTAGTTGATGTTCTCTGCTTCATCTTGAATGCGCTGAGGATGTTCCTGCTGTCTGCTCTGTTCTGCAGAGAACAATGAACTGAAAAGAGATTTGCTCAAAGGTGGAGCAGGGATCAAGGATCCCACATGCCTATATTCCTCACTGCCAAGTGATTTGTTGACCTGTTGGAATTTTTTTTTAACATTTATTTAATGAATATAAATTTCCAAAGTACAGCTTATGGATTACAATGGCTTCCCCCCGCCATAACTTCCCTCCCACCCGCAACCCTCCCCTTTCCCTCTCCCTCCCCCTTCCATTCATATCAAGATTCATTTTCAATTCTCTTTATATACAGAAGATAAGTTCAGCATGTATTACATAAAGATTTCAACAGTTTGCACCCACATAGAAACACAAAGTGAAAAATACTGTTTGAGTGCTAGTTATAGCATTAAATCACAATGTACAGCACACTAAGGACAGAGATCCTACATGAGGAGTAAGAGCACAGTGACTCCTGTTGTTGACTTAACAAATTGACACTCTTGTTTATGGCATCAGTAATCACCCTAGGCTCTTGTCATGAGTTGCCAAGGCTATGGAAGCCTTCTGAGTTCACCAACTCTGATCATATTTAGACAAGGTCGTAGTCAAAGTGGAAGTTCTCCCTTCAGAGAAAGGTACCTCCTTCTTTGATGACCTGTTCTTTTCACTGGGATCTCACTCGTGGAGATCTTTCATTTAGGGTTTTTTTTGTTTGTTTGTTTTTTTTCCCCAGAGTGTCTTGGCTTTCCATGCCTGAAGTACTCTCATGGGCTTTTCAGCCAGATCCACGTGCCTTCAGGGCTGATTCTGAGGCCAGAGTGTGTTTCAACTCTGATCATATTTAGACAAGGTCATAGTCAAAGTGGAAGTTCTCTCCTCCCTTCAGAGAAAGGTACCTCCTTCTTTGATGACCTATTCTTTCCACTGGGATCTCACTCACAGAGATCTTTCATTTAGGTGTGTTTTGTTTGTTTGTTTGTTTTTGTTTTTGTTTTGTTTTGTTTTTTCCCCAGAGTGTCTTGGCTTTCCATGCCTGAAGTACTCTCATGGGCTTTTCAGCCAGATCCACGTGCCTTAAGGGCTGATTCTGAGGCCAGAGTGCTGTTTAGGACATCTGCCATTCTATGGGTCTGCTGTGTATCTCGCTTCCCATGTTGGATCGTTGGAATTTAAGTACAGTTTCCCATGGCTAAATGGCGAGTGGCTGATAACAAAGAGGGGTTTTGGAGGATGAAGTTAATGTCAACTATGTAGATGGACAGGCAGATAGATAGATGGATAGATAAATAGTGTGTGTACACACACACACACACGTATCACACATGTGACAGAGAAACTGGGAGAAAAACCATTAGTAACTCCAGGAAACAAAAACATTTGTCATCTCCTTGCTCAGGAGTTAATATATACAAAGCCATGTACTGCAAACACTGACTGCTGATTTAACCCATTTTCTAAAAAAGTGTTTTAATGATGCTATTTTTTTCAAATATTTATTTATTTGTTTGAAAGGCAGAGTTACAGAGAGAGGGAGAAACAGAGAGAGAGAGAGAAAGCGAGAAAGAGAGATTCCTGTTGGTCCACTCCCCAAATGGCTGCAATGGCTGGGGCTGAGCCAGGCCGAAGCCAGGATCCCAGAGCTTCTTTTGGATCTCTCACGTGGATGCAGGGGCCCAAGCACTTAGGCCATCCTCCGGTGTTTTCCCGGGTGCATTGTCAGGGAGCTGGATTGGAAGTGGAGCAGCTGGGTCTCGAACTGGTGCCCATATGGGATGCCAGCATTGCCCATCATGCCACAACACTAGCCCCGTTATTGTTTTATTATGATAAAACACACGTAACATAAAATTTGCCACTTTAACCACTGTTAAGTATACAATTCAATGACACTAATTATACTCATGGTGTTTTTTAACTGTCACCACTATTTATTTCCAAAATTTTTCTATCATCTCAGACAGTAACTCTGAATTGATCAAATGATAACTCCTAATCTGCCTCCCCTGGTTCTTGGTAACTTCTAATCTACTTTCTGTTTCTGTGAATTATTGGCCTATTCAGGAGGAGCTCATGTAAGTGTAATCCTGCAATGTTTGTGCTTCTGTGAAAGGCTTGTTTCATTTAGCACAATGTTTTCAGGGTCCCTGTGTATTATAGAATTCCTTTGTATGACTGAATAGCCATACTATTATGCACAAATGCGACATCTATCCATTTGTCTGTTGATGTCACTTTGGATGTCTTCCACCTTTCAGTTTTGAATAAAGCTATGATGAACACTGGCTTGCAAGTGCTTGCTTTTGGTTCTTTGGGGTATATACCTAGGAGTGGTCACTGGAACCATTTCCAATTTCCCAATGAACAATTCAGCAGTGGTTAGTGTACTCACAGTGTTGTCCGGCCCTCAGCACTGCTGGTTCCAGAACATTTTCATCACCCTAGAAGGAAACTCCTACCCATTATCAGTTATTCCCCACCTCCCCTCGTCCTAGCTCTTGGCAGCCGCTAACTCTTCTTCTGTCTCTACAGATTTGCCTATTCGGGACATTTCAAATAGAGTGAAGCAATATGTGACCTTTACGAATTTTCTTTCTAATACACCTTTTTCTTATGGGCATTTTCAACAAAAATACAAAGAATTATTAAGTGAGCTGTCATCCAAATTCAACCTTGGCCAAGCTCTTGCCAGTCTTGTTAACCAAGCTCTCTTTACCAGGGAAGAGAAGAAGTACGTGAACCGATTCTGGAAAGAAATCCGCGTGGGAGACTTTGTGCAACTTCGCTGCAATGAGATCATCCCTGCAGACATTCTGTTGCTCTCGTCCAGTGACCCGGATGGGCTGTGCCACATTGAGACCGCCAACCTGGACGGAGAGACCAACCTGAAGCGGCGGCAGGTGGTGCGTGGCTTCTCAGAGCTGGTAAGTGAACTGAGTTGCCAAGGGGTCACAGCCCACGTGAACTCCCATGCCAGCCCTGAGCATCACACCCCTTGTATCTACCCCTCGGTCAGGCCAGGCTACTTCTCCCACCAGACAGATCAAAGGGGCTAAGAGAACTCCCATCTCCCCACGTGCATGACCAACCTGGACCATGGTGAGCAGCCCTCAACTGTTTCTGATTCTGATTTCCGCTTAACACACTGTCTCAGGACAGTGTTTGGAGCCCCTGCAAAGGTACAAGGGACAGTTACAACAGTTGGCATTATGAGCTACTGTGCCGGTTCACTGAATGGCAACTAGCAGAAGCAATGCCTGTTCCCAGAGGGTAGCTCTGGAAGATTTTCTCCACAAGGGAGTCTCTGAGTTCAGCATTAGGTCTTCAGTAACTGCTTTCTGCTTTAGATGCTCACCAGCCACCACGCAGCAGGACCAGGGGTGAGGAGGAGGAAGGGAAGTTGGATCTGACCACTGCACTCCCACACAAGACTTGCAGCCAGAAAATACAAATTCCTTCGGGGTCCTTGACCTTCAGTCCATACCTAGGTGAGGAAGGGAGGGCTGCTCCTCTCCAGGTCGGCAGAGGTTGCACCATGCTAATTTCAAGTAAAATCAGAGTGGCCTGAGCCTCAGAGACCAGGTGGTGTCTAGAAGCAATACGGACTCTCGGTCAGGCCCTCTTCTCCTAACCCTGCCCTGCCCTAGGTTGCCTGTCTGAGTCATGCCTTGGAGATCTGGCTATCAGCCCATACAGAAGGATGCTTTAAGAAGTGGTCCAAGGGACTGAGTCCTGCATTCACAGGGAGGATGCCACAGAGGATTTTCTTCATCTGACATTCGGGGCTCACTCCCCACTCCACACACACCATGATCTCCTTCAGGAAAAAGTTCTCTCTGGCCTTAGGATCCATCAGTTTCTCTGGAGCAGTTGGCTTCATTTTGCAGGTTGTGAATCCCAAGAAGGCACTGTTGGCGTTTTGGGGGATTAGCATTAGTTTCACGGGGTAGCATTTTTGGGGGATAGCATCTGCCTTTGGCCCGTGACGTGGCCACGCATGTCTCATCACCATCATAGGTGAACGTGCCTGTGTACCCTTACAGAATGCCAGGCAGGTTCTGCACCCTGTGGGCTGCCTAGCCTGCCCTGGTTAGTGGCCATCTCAGCCTCACTGCTACAACTCTCTCACCATGTGACAAGCCCCCGACTTGCCATTCTACCTCCTTGTCTCCACCCCTACTTCCTCATTTATTTTATTTTTAACCTTCCTTTTGTGTTAAGTGTATTTTAGGAAGCTGCCTTCAGTGTTTTTTACAGGAATGCAAAGCATACATAAAAATTGATATTAGTATATTTTTTAAAATTTCATTTTTTAAGGAATGCAACTTCCTGCATTTGATATATACAGGCTTGAGAACATGATGCTTCTTCCCCCCACCTCCCACCCACCCATACGCCTGCCTTCCTTCCTCCTCCTCTTCCATTCCCATTCTTATTTTTTACAGAGATCAATTTTTCAGTTAATTTTTATACTCCTAAAACTAACCCTTCACTAAGTAGAGAGTTCATCAATTAGTATGAAGGAAAAAATCAAAACCAGACAGATAAACAAACACTATTGTTCCTTGATAGTCAAGGCAAGGGCTGTTCAAAATCAATGCATCTAAAGTAATGGTTTCATAGTATATGTCTTTAAACAAATTCTCTGGAGAGCTGGGGACAGCCTTTGTCAGGGAGTCCCAGAGGCCCAGCACTGCTTTTGGTAATGAATGTGGGCCCTGCCCTCTGCCTCACCCAGGCCTATGTGTGCACCTGTTGCCTTAAGTAAGAGAGTGGGCTTGTTGGGAGAGTGGGCCACACTCCCAGGCTTCTCTACCAGGCTTGCCCCAGTCTCAAGACACTAAAGTACCCAGGGCCCTAGAACTAGCACTGAAACCTGCAGTGGGACAGTGTCCCCTTCCCAGTTCTCATGATCTCATCACAGAGTTAGGGAGAGATTGGGGGGGGGGGGGCTACAGGGCTCCAATGTCACCCTCCTCCAGGAACGCCTCTGTGCACGTAAGTGAAAGTATGTGGATAGCTGGCTGGTGGAACTCCTGTGTGGAAAATGTGGAGAAATGTGAGAACCTCAGAGCAGCCTGCCCATGCCTGGGGTGCTGGGAAGGCCACAGCCTCAGGACTGTCTCTGACACCATCCTGCTTACTAATCATTGTTCAATATTAATAATGTTGTGGGCTCTTGCCATGTATTCAGAGAGGAATTCCGAATACTGGCTCAAATAGAGAAGACAACATGGTAAGTTTCTAAGGATTTGATTCAGTGAGAGAAATGTGCAGGAGACTGAGGGCTTTATTTAGGGGAGAAAGAGAAGTCTAGAGGCTAAGCTGGGTCCATACCAAGCAGAGAGCAGGCCAGGAGCCACGTGGAGCAAGCGTATGGTCATAAGTGGCCACAGGTAGCTTAACACGAGTAGCGAAGCGAAGGCAGAGACCAAGAGGCTGTGCCAAAGGCACAGGCAACAAGGAAAGGGCCCGCAGTGTTCCAGGCCTTTTAGTCACTTCCAAAGGGGCGTAGTCACGTAGCCTGATTGGCAGATAGGCGTACAGGTGGGGTCAGGTAGGGGCATGAGATCACACAGGGGCATGGTGAAGGCGTGGTCTTCCAGCTCACAAACCTAATCAATTTTATCCTCTCTGCCTGCCTACATCATCTCCTTGGTCAGTGGTCAGTTCTCAAGAGTTAACTTCCTGGTTTCCTATCCTGCCTTCTAATCTTTTCCAACTTCTGAACTCGATGGTGTCTGAAATCCTCCCTCACCGGCTTCCCCCCACAAACGGCTGCAGTACTTCCAAGCTCAGCATGCTTTAACGTAAACACATCGTCTGCAAGTGGAGTGTTTGAACCTCAAGGGCCGCAAACAGACACAGCTTGTGTCACCCTCCTGGGGGACCCGTGAATGCCTGAGGAGGTGACTAGAGCAGAGTTGTAACGTCGTCAAAACGCCCATAATTCAAACCAAACAAATCTGACTTCAAGAAGAAAGCTGCTTTGTCAGCCCCAAAGTTCTTCAATGTGCAGTGCAATCTGCTCCTTGTTATTGGTGTATGTTTTTCACTTCCTGCTTGATTTTCCTTTTTTCTTTCCCCTAAATGTCCACACACATGTGTCTAGTACCTGAATCCCCCCCCCCCCCTTTTGACAGACAGAGTAGACAGTGAGAGAGAGAGACAGAGAGAAAGGTCTTCCTTTACCGTTGGTTAACTCTCCAATGGCCGCCGCGGCCGGTGTACCGCGCTGATCCGAAGGCAGGAGCCAGGTGCTTCTACTGGTCTCCCTTGCAGGTGCAGGGCCCAAGCACTGCACTCCCGGGCCACAGCAGAGAGCTGGCCTGGAAGAGGGGCAACCGGGACAGAATCTGGTGCCCCGACTGGGACTAGAACTCGGTGTGCCGGCACCACAGGCAGAGGATTAGCCTAGTGAGCCACGGCGCCGGCCCTGAATCCCCTTTCATGCATTATTATTCTCAAATATTTGAACCACTCCTTGGAAAAGAAAGGCACTACATCGCCTGCTTCTCATAGGCCAGGAGCTGAAAAATCAGGATTCTAACTGCAGTGTGCCAATGCCAAGAACACTTAAGTACTCTGTACTTCAGTGAATTCTTCATGAAGTAGAGTTAGCAAGTCTCAGATAAGGAAGAAATGATAGTGATCTATCCGTGCTGTTCTGTGTTAGCTACAAAGCAGTAGTTTTCTGCCAGATAACTGATCAGGTGAAAGTGCTGGCCCCTAGAAAAACTCAAACTAGAAGAGAATTGAAAAACATAGGGAAGGAATCAGAGATTACCTTGGTGTTAGTGCAGGACCTGGAAGTATCCACCAAGGTCCAGTCCAGAGACAGAAGCACATGTGATTCAATGAGGGCAAATTTGATCTAAAAGACTCTTACTGGGAGATTGGGAGTAAGAAGCAACAGCGACCCTGAAGAATAAAGAAGAGCCAGTGCAAAGGACAGCCACACCCCTGGGTCTGAGAGAGACAGGTGCTCCTTACTCAGGGAAGGGGCACGGCCGTGGCTCCTAGGATACCAGAAAAACTACAGGGGCTGCCCTGCAGGAACGTACTGGACACCTTGCAGCTATCCACAGGGTGAGGCCATGCCTAACAACCTGCCAGATGCCAGGAGCCAAGTCAGCACGCCTGGAGCCAGGGCTGGGGAAGCCACCCTTAGTGTATGGCCGTGGATCCCACAGTTGTTAAATACTCTTACTCTCTAGAGAGCCAGCACCCTAAAGCCCCAGCTTCTGAGGCTGGGGGGCCCTGAAGAAGGTGCAGGGAGCAGATCCCAGGCTGGGATAGGACCCATACTGCCTGTGCTCCTGACTAGTCTGCACTGGAACACAGAGAAAGTTCTAGAGGGGTCAGGCAGTGGAGAATAAATATCTATCTCCCCCAACACACACCACACACCTTCCACCTGAAGGCCAGCCCCTCCCTTCTCTACCCCCCTCTGGCACCCTCTACCGACAAGGCAAAATTTAACTTCTCCATTTTCAGAATGAAAGTCCACTTAGGAAGTGCTTGTTCGGTTGGGATACTAAGAAATGAGCTTTGTGATGCACGTGCTGTCAGGTCTAGTCATTTAAGTCAACAGGAACAGTAGCTGGAGGATTCAAACCTGTTCATCAGCTGATGTCCTGTGTTGAGCAGGGAGAAGTTCCGGGGCTTCCTGTTACAGGGACGCAGCCATCCACAAGGTCAAGTCCATTGTACTGTGAGGGCCATGGAGGCTTCCAGAAAGAGGGGCCTGAAGCGCTTTCTGAAGGCTGGGATGGAGAGAGGTAGGGTGCCAGGGGTCTCGGGCAACGTCACAGGCCAGAAGATATCTCAAAGTGGAAATAGAGTTGTATTTAGGGAGGAGCATTGCCTAAATTTTATAGTCTAGAGGTTACTCAGAGAAACAGGAGGCAGAGGACATGACCCA